TCCAACTGAATACACTTATGCCAAAGGAAGACTGATCAAGTCAAACCAGTGACTGTCTGTGGTTCAATAGATAAATGCGTAACGTGGGGACGTTTAATGCGAACGGTACTCGGTTCTAGTCCAGGAGTAGACACAACTATGGGATGGAGGCACATCCAGCTGACGAGTCTCAAATAGGACGAGACGCGCGTCCTGGATTCTACTTCCAGCCATCATCAGTCTCCGCTTATAACATATTTTGTTAGCAGCTGAATCAAATAATGAATAGTTTTGATGGTTTCACTAGAGATGGAATTCTAAAATACTCAATTTATATAGGTTTGTTTAGTTGGAAAGCGAAGCTAATTCAGCCAGGATTGTCTCGTTGCTCAATCCAGTAATCTGTATTAAATAGTTGTAGCTTATTATTACACACAAATAAAATTGACCGTAAATATACACTAAATGTGGTCAGTGGAGACCACTTAGTCCAAACGTATTCCTCAATCGGGATTTATTTATCGAAATAATCGTCACCTTTATATGGTAAAAGCGATCGACATCATGAAATTCAGTGAATTCATTTCATTAAATATCTCCATTAAATGTTGTATAAACGTTTACTTTCAGAAATAAATGAAGTATCATGAGTTTGGATTTTTTGAGATAAATATTCCAGTTCAACGGTAATTTTAGATACAAAGACTGTATATTCATGAGGTTATTATTACGAAATGAACTGAACAAGTAAGACAATCCATTAAGTCAGCAAATACTAGGAACCAATACGGTTACGGTTATTTATTTCAAATTATGAAACTTAGTTGTACTACCACATCAACTATTTAGTTTACTTGTTATTCAGCTTTCATCATAATGGCAGTTGTCCTGTTACTTCTAACATTGTCTTAAATACATTCGCTCTAATCTCTGCATGTATTTTTATCCTTTTTTTACAATCAATAATCTCACTATTTTATGATTGGACTGATTATTCCGTTTATTTATTTTATTCTATAGTATTCACTGCTTTTATATTGTAAGTTTCAGAAGTCTTTATATTTTATACGAACAAAGCTTTTGAGAAATAATACGATTCGGTAACTTTCGAAAAACAGGGGTCAGTGCCACTAGTTGCTATATACTAAGAATTAACCTAAACTGGGACCATCTGTTTACAAACACATTGGTCTATAGTTAGTGTGTTATTAACAAAATTCGAAGATTCAAAGTTAGATGTCATGTAAAACAGAATATGATCACTGCTAAAAACTCTTAAAGCTGAGACAATATACTGACTAATCTTTCCTAAATTTTGGTAGCTTTCTAGACGATGTCATTCTATGGTAAACTCTATTTTCAAATTGTACATATCCCAAAAGTTTTCAAAAAAATTCATTGTAAATAAACTCTGTTTTACAAAGGAAGTTTGTTATTGTTTTAAGAATGGTTTTCTATCTAATAATTTTTATAGGTTAGTTTCAATTCATGCTTCATGGCAGGAGACATAACTTAATGTTTGAAGAGAAAAAAGATCAACTCAGTTTTGATTGATCAATAATACCCCCCTCCTACTGTATATTGTTTTAGTCTGAAGTTTCAATCATAAAAGTTGTTGTAACTGTCCATTATAACTAATGAATTTTAAAGAAACCGTGTTCAAAGCTGTTTGTGATATTACACTAAATATCAATAACGGAAACAGCACATTAGTACTATTTTAACACTTTTAGAGAGTGTTGTTAACATAATGTATTTTTTTATTTGACAAAGAAACTAAACTGACACAAATTTGCTTTTTGAAAATACAAAGTATTATCTGCTCGTACTAGGAACATCATGATTCTAAAATGTTTGACATATTATAACAATTTAATTTTGCATTTAATGCACTTAATTGATTCAATTTGAAAATCACGTTGTACCGGGTTTGTTCATGACATGGTTGTATTCGTTTTCATTCGAATTCTTACTATTCACATAATTTGTGATGATGTTTGCATTTCTTATCAACAGTTTGGATTAGAACTCAAATCGACACAAAACAACACTGATGTTAGCTAATATATTGCTATCTAATCGGTATACGACATAGTAAATGTCCTCCTAATGACAACATATACTATACTGTTTCTAGTTTGTGAAAATTTGTTTCAACAAAAGATACTTTACACCATTAATTGATATTGATAATAAGACCTTTGAAGATCAATTAGTTACTTCTCATTAGTTATGGGACCGTCTTCCAACAGGTGAATAAACTAAAAAGATTCAGATCTCGAAATGAACACCATACAATTAAGATATTTAGTGTAAACTTATGATTCTATGTATTTTGAATTCAAATGGTGTGGGCTGTAACGGAATTATTGTTGAATGTCATAAATAGTAGGCTACCTCAATTTGCCATACCGTTTTGGGTCGTTTCCAAATAAATAAATTCTTTAACCTAATTACGGGGACATTAGAGCTGAAATGTCGACTCCATTTTGTTAGATCGATAATTTTATTATAGATAATAGTGTCTAGAGATTGATAAATAATTATTATCTGACAGTTAATTTATATAAGTACTTCAGTGAAGTATCTAGTGTTACACAATGAATTCTTCGTAGTTGAAGACAATATATCAGCTTGAATGTAAAAAATTAGTGTATTTTGAGATTTATAGTTCCTTGTAATGACAAATTACAGAATAACGATCTAGTACAATGTAAAGCCCAAAAATATTTGTTTTCCACCAAATAATAGCAGTAACTTATGGTGTTTATTTGGGTATAACTCATCCTTAATGCACAGCATTCGTTAAAAAAGTAATTACTATTATAAAATCACTGTTTCTAAATATGGCCTTGAAAAAAAGAGCAATGTCAACTTGATTTTTAAACGATGCAGATTAAAATGATATTTTAACTTTACAAGTTTTGTAAACAACTACAACTGATGACTGTTCCTGTTAAAATCTTTGGTGACAGAAGTAGGTATGCTTTAGGTACTTAATTGAAATGCTGAAAGTTAGAGAACTTTTCAAAAGAGATGTTACAAGTGTTGTGCCCATTATCCAAAGTAATTCATATTTGTCGTTGTTGTTCCAAATTACTTATGATGTCTTTATGCAAATAGCTCTGGAAGTGTCAAATTACCGTGAGACTATTTATTGTATACCGAACATTAAGCAAAAGACTGATGTGTAAGAGGAGTTTGTCAGGAAGTATACTCAGGAGTTTTTAAATGTCTATGTTCTACAAATGAAAATGAAATTTCACAAACATTTAATAGATATGAAGAATCTATTTGTGGTTATATCGATATAATAGGCTAGCGATCCGATGCTTGAACTTTCAAGAGTTATCAACTCAAATCTTGATAGAAATGTTCCTCGATAAGATTTTATTCTTTTGACAACATAGAAAAATCCTTAAATAGTTTAAAATATAGAATGATGGTAAATAAGATAATCTGAAATTTCAAGTAGTCATCTTACTTTGAATTAAATAAACCTCTTTATACTACTTTATACACGTTTTTAAATGAAAAGTATATTAAGACATTTTGAATAAAATATCATTTAGAACTAATTCGGATTATTCTACTTCTTAACATCCATTTGTTCCGATTAACTGTTTACTTGAAATAGGTAGATATGATTTCAGTATTTTTTGGCTGATATATATTATTTAGTCTGTACTCTCTGCTTTATTGAGAAAACTAATTTCTGTAAAACATGACAGTTTTCACAACCCTGGATCATATTGGTATACAGATACATTGAAAACGATCACTTCTACGCAGAAACATCTTCATGAATTCAATAGATGTTTGTGTAAATATTATATGACACATTTGTTAAACTGACATTTTGTTTAATACTGCAATTTTATGTAATCGTCATATATGAATCCTTTTCAAATGAACCATATTAATGAAGAATAATACCTTATAGAAGCTCACAACGACAGTAATGACTTTTGAAATTCAACCATTTTATCCATGGAAGATTTGTTGACTGGTTTGATAAAATTACATTCTAATCTGAATTTTCTGATATCCTAAGCTTTAGTTATTTATGAATAATAATAACATTCATAGATTTAAATGTAACTACTTCTACAAGTGGTAATACACTTTCAACCATTTTTGAAGCTAGAAAGTATCCTTCTCATTAAGCAGGTAAAATGTCCCACACAGTGACAATTGGGGTCATATAACGTATAGTTACAACTTGACGCTTTATGAAACAAACTTTTTGAATTTAATTTCTTAACAATATATCGGCGTGTTTGAGTTCTTCACTAAGAAGTTTTGAGCAATGCAAACTGTACATTTGGTATTTATTTAACTTTTACTCTTGTATGAGGTTGTGTAGATTTTAGAATTTCATTGATGACCCTGCAATCAAAAGTCCAGGTTAAGTGATCGCATGCGAAACCGAAGGTCTTGGGTTCGATTCACGCCTGCAGTGTCGTGGAGAAGAACTCACGAGGAATTCTATAATAAAACGAAATAGTCGTTCAATGCTCTCATGTATTCGATGGTTATCTACATTAGATCGGTTTGTGACTTCAATGAAATTTACTTTTAAAGCTTGAAAATGATTATCATTAATTGTGATAGTCGCTGTTTTTTTATTTAGACCTTTCAAATGTCTGTTTTTTTAACCAATACAGGCAGACAATTATAGTACTATTTAATCCTTGCAATCTGAATACAATAGTTCTTGTTTCCGTGTTCATGACAGATAAATTACCGACTACAGTAAACCTTATATGGGTGATATTTAAAGTCACCATATTCTATTTAACAAGGGTAATTAAATTCATCTTCCAGTAAGTTAATTATTAAAAAGGTTTTTTAAATGGGATTAAATAGTTTGTGCAGAAGTGAATAAAGTAGAAACAATTTTCTTTTCAGTTTTTTCAAAGGCATTTATATTGATTTTGTTGTAAATAACAATTTTTTGTAAAGTTTAATGTATCCAGTAGTTCTAACCATATTTCCTCTTAATATTTGATTTTTTTCAGTTAGTACGTCAAACAGGAGCTGTTAAAATTACCATATTATCGGCGGCAACATTTCTACACGTAGCTGCATGGTACTCAGCACATCAAATAATTGATCATATTTTAAAAGGTCATTCAGAGTCACTAATTGAAAAGAAAACAGTAGTATGTTACTTTTTTATACAAAAAAAAGTCTTTAAATTTTGCACTTTGAACAATGGCAGTAATTCATATGTATATGATTAAGGGCAAAATGGATTTTGAGTGGTTGTCGGTAAGAGAGCATTCAGTAAGAAACTAATCACGTTCTTTTTTGTAAATTACAGAAGACGGAATAATGAATTTCATTTGAAACATTTTCTGCACAAATAGGGCAATTAGTTTTAAAATTTGTAAATTCTTATATATAGCCTGTTATTTTGCACTGTATTTCACTATTTTACTAGATAAAAATCATCCATTCCGTTCACATCTTTCCCCTTTTTGTTATAATTTATGCACGCAAAGAGAAGTACGAATAACCTAGAGTGTTCTATTTAGCATATACACTATACGAAGAACAGATTGGTAGGACTGACCTAACCAAAAACTTACATTCGTGAAACTTCACCTTATTTACTGTTGAAAAGTCTGTTATTTCTTCTAAAAAATTTCACCTCAATTAATATTATTTGGTTTATTCTTTTTACATAAGTATACATATCCATATACGATTATATCGACAAAGAGTGAGATGGATATCTAGAAATACTTTATGCTCAGAGCTTCATATTGTACTGAAAAATACTACACTGAATAAGACGACTGTTATTATTATTCGACGTTATATGCACTATTTAAACCTATTATTAGTCTGTTAAGATCATTAAAATTTGCTTTCTGTTCACGTCATTAGGTTGAGGTTGATAATCAACATACTGACTACGTTTTATGCTATCAAAAGTTATCTCATAATTCTAAATCTCCGGTAACCCAGGATTTTGAAATTTCCTCTGTCAAACAAGGTACCGTATTTGTCAGGATAAAGTAAAGAGGAAGATATAACATTATAGTGTTTGATCACCATATGATTTAAAAAAACAAGAGCAAAATATACAACAGAAGGGAATTAGGGCCAAGGAAAGATGAGAGGTTGAACGTATAGTTTTTGCACGCTTAGTTTGGATTTGAAGTTATGGATCACTAACGCTTCAGCAGTGCATAAGTTTTTGATTCGAACCCTCATTGATTCAGTTCCTTTGGTTGTCGAGATTATTTTGAAGAAAGACTACTTTAGAACGACGTGTGCAATTTGATGGTGTAGTTATTGTTACGTAAATATGTTGGAACATTTAGTCACTGAATTGTTGATCAATGTAAGAAAATATCAATACACTCTAAAAGTTACATGAAAACACACTGATGATTTATTAGAAGGAATGTCCTTTACACGGTTGAATTGGAAGATGTAAAATTTTCAGATATGATATTAAAAGTATGAATATAGAGTCATAGATTATTCATACCTTTTAGATGCTTGGTGAAAGTACAATAATACTAATACAGAAAAAAAGTTTTAAAACAATAGACAAAAGCTTCTAAAGATAATTTATATCATCTTCAGTAATGCTTCACTTGTTTATCACACGCAAAATAACTTTGTACGTGACTGATACTGATAACCTAATTTATGAATGTTGGTAGCTTTAGGAAACTTTTGGTCATATGAACTTATCCTGCTTTAGTGTATTAGATAAAGTCAACTTAAAATATGTATTCAAGTTATAGAGAGAATTTGGATGAAATTACAATGTTTACATCTTAATGAATTTCTGTTTCAGTGTTTCATCTTAGACATCTTTTATTAATCTGACATTGTCTACTTATTATCATTCATGTGAAAATTTGTATACTCAACTGATGAACCATAACCAGATTTTTACGCAATATGATAAGTTTTCAACATCTCTAGTGAAAATTAGGAGCAGGTTGAAATGAATTTTGTTTTAGCACACTTCAAATTAGTATTTTATTATTGACTTCTGTCTAGCTTTCCATGTATATTTTTGTTGCATGATTCATTAAATAATATTAATATATTCATAAGTAATTAAACGTGTAAAATAATACATTTGTAGACTTTAGAAAAATGTGTCCTCGTTCACATAGAGCAAGTAATCAGTATGAGTAGTTCAGGACTGTGGCTGGCAGTGAAAAGCGTAAGAAGGCTCTACTTACTATATAATTCGTGATCAGATTATCAAATGGCATTAGATTTTTTTTAAAATTTAACAAAAATGTCATCTCAGTCAACATAGAGAGATGTACGATGAGTAGTTTGTGCGAAAGTAGCTACATATTTTTCGGCTATTTTCATGATTATATGCCCAATTTTACATATTTTCTAATGGTTATACATTACATTAACTATACATACGATTTTTGTGGCTAGGAAGGTTTCACTCCATTGCATATTTCCGCCGGAGTTGGTGATTTTGTGGCAGTCGAACGATTATGTAAAGCTGGAGCTAATCCTGAAACCACAGATACAGTAAGTGATTTAATAAATCAAAATAAATAAAACTATTGGTCATGTAATCGGCGCGACCATAATTTATGAACGAACCAATCAGGTATAAGATAATAGGTCTCTGATTTTAGCGCGAAATTCATCCATCTATTTGGCTAAATAGAGTTTTGGCATTATAGATAATGTCAGTTCGTGATGAAAACCCTAGATGTATTTCCTAACCCTAACTATCAACTGTAAATCATAATTCTAATTTCTCACACTGGTTGATAACACTCATTTGGTCCTAGTTATTAGGTGATAACGCTCAAGGTCGACCATAAATTATAGTCTCACCCATGTAATTTTGTATATAATTTCATGATTTAATGACCTTCAAAATTTAAAAAGTTATGCAAAATATCATTCATTCACCAAATGTTTACCTGGGAAGAAAATATATTGTTTTAATGAAGTGAAGTATACATTTTCTAACATAATTCTTATCATATAAACAAGAAAAGATCAGAGATAGTTGTGAAACAAATTTATTGGAAAGCAAAAAATGAACTATAGTACATATTTAATGAGTTAACTGGTGCAACAAAGTTGTTGTTTGTAGAGTGATATTTGCCATATCAAACGTTCGAATACTTCTAATGAGTAATGAGCCCAATGATGACTGGTATAATAATAATAATATATACAGTAAAGTTAATCTATTCTTGATTATCTTACTGAGTACATTTTCGCACGTCTGGCACTTAAGAAAGTCTTTTTGATGCTTATTTATATAGGCTATTACAGTGTTCTCCAAATATATCTGTGATTTGTCTGTATTATATGATGTCTTTTGTTGAACACCGCAGTTTAAAAAAGCTTTGTTCTGTCGAGTAAATACTGTATTAAATTGGTCAGGGACTCAATGGTATTTTTAGGATTGTTTCACTCAAATTTCCATAACATGGTAATTTTAAATGTGGGACATGAGATGACAGAAACTACCGGATATATATTAGTCTCTCGTATGGTGCATAGATGCAAATAGCATGACACAGCCACTAACAATAACAATTTTAAAATCTTTAACTACTTCTCAATCTGACTGAGTACGTTAGTTTTTTAATCCCAAAAATGATTACTATCATCTTTGACAAAGAATAATAGTCGTAACAACATATTTACTAGTATCTGAAGTTAAAAACAAACGAAATTGGTTGTTACGATATCAGAAAAAATTAAAACAACCATAACCATCATTTCGTGTGAAAGACTCTTAGCAAAACTGTGTATCGTATTCTTGATTAATATTGCGTATAAATATATATTTAATCAGAAAACTGTTTTTCAGTGATCAGTCAACCTATTCTACCTCATATTGTGGTGGATTAATGAATGGAATAGAAAAACTAACCATTTTTAGTTACATGGTTTTGTAGATCTAATAATAAGTAAACTTGATACCGACTCAAGTATAATGAAGATTGTCACAACTAGATGTTTCATAGTCTTCTACAAAATTAGCTATACACAATAATAAGTTGGTAATATATGATGATAATGATTTGTCAGCTGACGATTCATTATCAATCAATAAATTTTACCAGTTGGTGACTGTATACACCTTTTAACTAAAAATTTCTGAATTCTAATGGTAGTTTTTCGCTTAATAGGTCTCAATTGCAGCATTTTTATTTTCTATAGCCAAACAGTAACCTACCAATTACCAAATTGATCAAAGCCATAAGCTTGAAAAATATTTTTTGGATGTAAAATATGTACTCGAAATTTTCAATATTTTATTTACAGCAAAGACATTTTCTTCAGTGAATAAGGTATAATTGACAAATAGTAAAGCGTTTTTAATGTTTTGACTATAAATGAAATTACATTGTTGCTTAATTAGAAAGCTTGTGATGACTGAACAGAGGTCGACAAATAATGTACATTATCTTATGATTTTACTAATTGCTATCTTACCGGACACTTATTGATTATTTATTTTAGAGTGGTAGAAATGCATTACACCATGGTGTGGTTGGTGATCCGGAGACTGCTGTTGTTCTTTGTTGTATTAATAAAAAATTAGTCATGGTTGCAGATTCTGTAAGTCAAATGAACATTTTTTTCACGACATAAACTAATCCTTTTCCTAAAAAAGGGTATTTTTAATTTTCCAAATTTTTGCATTCTATATCCATGCAGTATTCCTTTATTGCTTCTTGAGACAATGTATGATTCTTATTATGACATCAAATTAAATTTTACTGGAGACAAATTTCAGTGTTTTCAAGTTCTAATTACGATAGTGTTTCTTTTTCTAGTCAGAAGCTATGAATTAACTATTTGCTAAGATTTTGCCTATTTAAATTCTGTCCCACTTTTAAAATATTCTAATAAATGTAGATATATAAGTGGACTAAATATCACAGCAACTATCTTACAAAATTTCTACTATGAGATAAAATAACTTCCATTCACAATAGACTGTTTCCACTAGAGTGAATGATGCAAACTATAACTAAGTTTATTTTAAAAAAATATTTATAATTCAGAAATATTCTTTCATAGTTGTTTGAAATCAGTCAAAGGCACAACGAACATGGATGAAGAATAATATGAATTCATTAAATGTGGTGGTTTCTCATCACCTGCTTACAACCAAATATGTATTAAAATTTTACATTGAGATAAGATATAATGTGGAACAGTTGAAATAAGTGAATGTAAGGAATTGGAATGACAAAGATTATCTATAATAACTAAATATATGTGTGCAAAGAACAGGTCCGAAGTTATTTGGTGTTAGAATCAAGAAAACATTAGGGATGAGTGATGTAATAGTTGAGTGGAGTTCAGAGACAAATAATTTTAGAGGTAATGAAGGGTTCACATAAGATTCATGGCTTTAAAAACTGATAAGATGGGTTATGTATTAATTGGATAGAATTTGAAGAGTTTACATAATTTAAGAGAATCAAGTGAGTGGAAATGTAAGAGTGAATGGGTGATTTAAATGTACACGAAGTAAGAATTCGGTAATGGAAGAGAAATATAACAAACTACACATTAACAAAATAAAACTAGTGACCAAGAATTGGATTACCAGGGTAATAATAAGTTTATTACTGTCTCTTTTCGAATACGTAGATCACGTTTGAGATTTTTTTATCGCAATTGAGCAGTTCTTTTCCGATAGAGTCGTCAGTTTTGTTGTTGGGTAGGTCACATTCAACTCGGAATTTATCCTGTGATTAACTATTCCAGTGATTTCATCTCTTTCGAGGAAGCAGGTTTTCTTTTCCACTCTATCGTACATAATTCGGGGGTTGGTTTTGTCATATTTCTGGATGAACTTCGCCTTATATGCATTTTCACGTAGGCAATTTGTTATGAGAAACATTTCATCTTTCAGGCATTTCTTTGAGCACGCAAAACTTGCTCAAAGGAAGTTTAACACTTTTGGATAGGGTTCAAATACTATCCAGATGATCTTTTACTTTTCAGCCGGTTTACTCAATGACGTCAGTTCCAGATGAAAAAAAACAATAACAAACTAAATAGATTTTAGATATCATTTGTAATGATCTATAGTCTTTGACAAAATAAATCTATTACGTCATTTGTTTTTTTCGGAAATCATGAAATCACTTTTTTATATACTGCAATTTCACATTGAAATTTTGTTTTGTCTTTGTTTCGTAGAAATTTCAAACTCCTGTTCATTATGCTTTGGATCCAACTCGTTCAGCATGTCATAAATTCTTGGCTGCATTATATCATGATGTTATACAATCGGCTAAAGATAGTTCAGATAAATCATCAGAGAATGATGTATGTTTAATTATTTTTAACAAATTTTCACAATAACATAACATTTCACACTATTTTGTTTATAATTATTACTAAAAATTCTCCTAAATATCAACTTACTATTCATATGGTTTATAAGTAAAACAATAAATTATACACTTTATTATACTTCCATCATAATTAATTTATATTATACAGATGACAGATCATGCTGAAACAACACCAAAGAATTTATGTTACCTATGAGTTTTGATGAGTGTAGACATAAACCACTTGTCAAAGTATGAAAGTAAAAGTCAGTTACAAAAAGAGAAACGGAAAAAAAGAATGAAATATTTGAATAAATCCAAATGTCATGGAAAAGAAACTTTTCTTCGTTGAAACATCTTCATTCTTTTTAAATCTAATATTTTCAAATTGTCTATTGCATAACCTCTTCAAGTTTTATTTAAACGTGTAACAGAATTTATCACACTTAAATAAATCCAAATTTTAGATCATGCCATTTTTTAAGCAACGAAGCTCCTTGTTGATAAAATTCTTGGTCGTTTATAGCATTTGTAAACTCTGCAGCAATTTGGAACTCTCCCGGTCTCCCATATTGTACGAGCATTCCATGTACCTAAATTAGTGGTTGCTCTGGTTATCAGAAGGATCATCAACCTGATGACTTCCGAAGGAACTTGGCTCTCATCATGAGACGTCATGACTCTTCTATATGAAGACCTCCTAATTTCCAGGGCAGAGTTTAAATGGTTTGAGTTAATTTTTGTGGTTAGCGTTTTTTTAGCGAGTTAGTTTTCTATGGGATGGGGTCGCTAACCCCATGCTCACGCCCCCTTTTATATCCGGGCTTGGGACCGGCAGTAGCCCAAAAGGGGCTCCAGTGGGAGTTAACATTTAAAAATTACATTAAAATAAATGTTTTTTGTTATTTTCAACTAAACCACAATGCACTCTATTATAATTTATTGTAATAATAAGCTAACATATTGATAGATTTTCTATGAATATATTTCAATAATAACTACTTTTTCCATACACAAGTTTCTTTTCTGTATCTAGTCATCTTTCTTGCATAAATAGAATCAATCTTAGAAATTTATAAAGGTGGACAGGCCAAGTAGATTTGTACAACTAAAAATAGAAAAAAGGGGTTATGAGATCTATCTGCGGTGCCATCTTTTCTCACTTTGTAGATAGTGAACTTGTTAGACAGACCAGGCTATCTTTGTTTTGCATCAAGTTTCAAATAATCTTCCTAAAGGAGTTAGATTACGACTCCTCCATATAGCTAAAGCCGTTTGGATGAACTCCAAGAAGCCTAACTTATAGTATGTTTTGACTCTGTGTTTACCTTGATCCACTACTGGATTACCATTTGCATAAATTGGATATTATCAATTCTTTACATTCCACCACTAACCACTTTTTTGTTAATATCTGCTCCATATTTTTCTTAATCTGTACATTCATCATTTCCGATTCACACGAATTTGTTATCAGAACTGCTTCTACCTCGCCTCTCTTATTACTTATCATATTCACACGATGTTATTATTATTATCTTCGTCAATGAGACGAAATTCTTCTACTATGCATTTTATTCGCACGATTCATTTTATTATTACTATATTGGTTATAACTTAATGTCTTACAACAAATCATTTTGACAAAGATGGTTAGTGGCTAGCAGTGGAATCCAGGAAGCGCGTTTCATCCTATTTCGTCCACTGCTAGCCACTATCCACCTTTGCTTATAATTCTTGTGAATTAAGGCAATATCGATGCAATCCTCACAGGATTTACATATGCCAATAAGAAACTGATCAATTGTAGTCCTAAACATCAATGGGAAGATTCAAGTAAACAATATCAAATAAAATCATTTTGACCTTTCGTAAGTGACCTTAACAATTTATACCATAACTGATGTAAAAGTTCACCATGTTCAACAAGTTTAATTCCCTAGCATGCCTTATTTTGACATTAATAAAATTTATTGTGGACTTATAACTGTAGAATTTAATGACGAAGTTACTAAAAACAATTATTTGCTGAAATATTCTTTGTTTTCGATTATAGATAATCGTTGTAAGTATAAAAGACAAATCACGGAATCATTCACATACATGTCAATGAAAAGATAAAAGCAAACTTGACGTATTCGGATCATAATTATTCTTTGATTTAAAAAAAATCGTTACCGACTAGTTGTAACTATACGAAAATCTTTAACAAATTACATGACCCTTTTCATTATACTTGAGTTCAGTCGAATTAGCGTTTAATAAATTAAATTATATTATCTGTATTCTTAAATCCTTGTATAAGAACAGTAATTACGTTATCCTTTTTGATTGGAAATATTTAAACTATCCCATCTGTCTAACGCTAAACAATTGTGGTTGGTAATAAATTTAGAATGATTCATAAGTAGTTGTATATGACCGTGTACATTAAAAAAATATGTTTTTTCCTTTCTTTTTAACTGTTCCCCAGAAGAACTTATCATTAACATGGATTCCGTTGAATATCAAGACCCCTGTTTGTGTAAATCCGTCAAAAAATCCTTCGTGAGTTTATCAAAACCTGTTAAATACACATATGTCTTTGTGTTATTTCAAATTCTAACTGGCGCCACTGCCAATTTATTAATATGTAAACAACGATAGACTATTCTAACGTCTGATTACTAATGTTGAAACAGACGTCACATAGGCATCTATAAATTTATTTAATAATGATCAAAATAGAAAAGCCTGTGGGTGTAAATTCAAATAAAGTATTTTCACATAATCATGAAATATTTTGATTTGTTAAAGCATAAGCAGAAAGCATATTAATGAAACATATTAAGGATGAAATAAAAATCAAAAGTTCTCTATAGCTGATGTTAAACTGAAGTGATCAAATAACTTTGTTGTTTTAAACGTTTTCCTATTGATCGACCAAATTCCATCAGTTCTACAGATGAGAAGAAAACTGATTAGTTCTCATCCAATCGTAGACTAGTATCCAGGTTTCTTTAGTTGCATGCCCATGTTACTGAATTCCTTTGCTCACTTGAATACTGTTTGCTTCGTAATAAAATATTTAAGACTACCTACTAATGTAAAGTACGATAATGTGTACTTCTGTAAATGTTCCAAGGCAGCGAATATTAATTTAACCTTTGAAGCAGTTGATGATGGGTTATAGTTTTATGTAAAGTAATGCAAGTAAACCAGTACATGACACAGCAACACACTGTGTGACCGAAAAAAATTTTTGTGATGAATTGAGAAGGGGTAAAAATAAATCACCTCTAAAACAGAACTGTCATGGTTTGTCTGCTAATGGATTTCCTTGAGTTAAACATACGCCTTACCGGATCAAATAGTATAGGATGATATAAAGTCCTATTCCCGTACAAACATTTTTGTTTAATTTGAATAAAGAAGTCTGTTTGGCAACGTAAAACGTGTTACGGCATTTCACAACAGTAGTCAATAATTCCGTAAAATCACACTAATTTTGGTTCTGTCTTCTCTACGAATTTTCACTTTACAAGTTTCTCAGTTTACTTATTTTTGAAGTATTAAATCGATATTATTAGCTCATACCTGAACCTCAACTCTAATCGGAACATTACTTAAAAAAAATGATTCCATGGTATGACAATCTTGAGAACGTCGAAATACTATTTAAAGCCTACACCTGCTTTAATACACTACTATTACTACTACACTTACTACTGAAATTTAAATAAAGGCACAAGTGCACCGTTTCTCATTCATAAGTATATGAATCTACACTTGTATATATAAGGAGAACTTAAAAGAATCAAGGTAGTTTAGGGAGTTACAAATAAATACTCTGTTACACTCCAAAACTTTAACCACTCTATAATCTTCTTGAAAAATGTTCTAATTATGTTTACTGATCACTAGTTAGCGTTAATTAATATTCATATATTGTTTATCATAGTTGATTCATTAAAAGAAAGTAAAACAGTGTAATATTTAATATTTTCTAATTATTATTATTTACTTTATTTAATAGTTATCCTGAATTATGTTTATGTAATACACCATTAACTGAACATCATGAAATGACAAAAAATCCTCAATTTCTTAAAGCATTAAAAGCTGGTAAAATGAAATATTATGATTTACCAACAAAAACATTCGGTGATATTGAATTACCTACAGGTGCATATTCTCCAAATGTAAGAAGAATTTATTTTATTTTACTTATTTGTATAAATAATCCGTAGAAAAAGTTTTTGATCATTGTAAACTTTGATGAATTTATTGTTTTAATTTGATGTTTCTGATTAGTCGGTGACATTTCAATGAATGGCTAAAAATATCTATATTCATTGAACAGTTAAGTCAACATCTTTAATGACTATTTTGGATCCACTTGATGTTGTTTACTTGAATCTTTCGATTGATGTTTAGTAATACAATTGATCAGACTCTTATTGGCATATGTGAATTGTGTGCGGACTGCATCGATACTGCTAAGCTGATCATTTACAGTCCTGAATAACAATAAGAAGATACAATCAAACGACATCAAGTGTGTTTAAGCTTTTCAAGATAAAGATAACATTGATTACTTTGAAAAATTGTCCATTAAAACTATCACGATGTTTATTATGACGTCCTACTTAAGAATTTATGCCTGACATTTTCTAACTACAAATATTGTGATAATCTTTCTAATCTTAGGTTTATTTGAACTGGATAGTATGAATGCCAACATACATACTCACCTACTAATATTAGAAGTTTATTCATTATTATATATATATATATATATATATATATATATATATATATAGAGAGAGAGAGAGAGAGAGAGAGAGTGAGTGAGAGATTGAATAGACTAGCATAACATTCAGTTTAAACGGTATGAACTATCTAGCCAAGTTCATTCATTTTGAAATCTCACATCAAAACTGGGTCTTAAAATAACAACACCACAATATAATTTAAAAACAAAATATTTTACATAATCGATACAAAAATAAAAATGTGAACAATCGATTTCATAACTTAGTATTCTAATGAATTACATTTAACAGTAATAAATTCTGAATAAGATAAAAACAGTAGAATAATGATAAGTTTGGAGTTGTGGAGATTGTTAAGTTTTTGATTAAAATTATGATTAATCAATGTTAGACCGTTATTGAAAACCTGGAAGCACTGGACGGCCGTTTCGTTTTATTATGGGACTCCGCTATCCCGCACTTGGGATCTGAACCCAATGCCTTCCGTTTCTCACGCGAACGCTTAACATCTAAACCACTGAGTAGGGATCCAAAGGTGTTAATATCTAACTTCAACCAATCCACGAAATTGCGCGAGTATCTACCATTGTTTGAGGTAGATGCCTGTCTCTACCTGACACGAATTATCTCCACTGGTTACGGTTTATCACCAGGACCTTGAAAATTACCTAACGATGCTAGTAATTAGTGAGCATATAGTAATGATCAGTATAGGGTTGTGGAGAATGCGCACAGCTGAGAAGTCCCATACTTGGACGAAACGGCCGTATGGTGCATTCAAGTTTTCAACGAAAGTCTAACGTCGATCGTCTCATGATCTCAATCAAAAACATAAAATAATGATAACAGCTTTATTTGATACTTATAACGCGGATGCAATAAAAAATTATCAGCATAACAAATATCTCACACACACACATTCAAACTGTAATTATTTAAAGTACATTCTAAAAATGTTTTTAACAGTCAATATCTGATACCGACAGTTGTTCATTAAATTTTTATGGTCATTCCAATGTACTTGTGCCTCGATTACTAAAGGGTATTTGAAGTGGTAAATGTACGAAGAACCGATAGGTGAAGTCTAATCATCGGGTTTTTTCCGACGGTCCCAACAAACCTGACATTGAAGGAAATAACTTATATTAGATTTTTTCGAGATCCATATATATGTATATATATATATCGTCTACATCTAGACAAGTTTTCGAAACTCTAAGCGAAAATTTATTTTGTGCTCTTCCTCTCTACTATTGATCAGGGAATGCTGGGTGAAGTCCCATTTAAAATATATTTAACAAAGCTATGGAAATGTTTGGAAATTATGGCCATTATTATATTTATACTTGGCACAGCATTACAACTTTTAGTATTGACTGAAGAAGCGGAAAGATTATCATTTACACCAGTGAATCCAGTTAGTGCTATACAAGAAGCTTTATTGCAGTTGGCAAGAATATTTTTTGGACTTTCATTGTGTATATTCTATCATCGTATCTTAGAATTATTTACAGTAAATATACGTTTAGGACCAATGGTTATTATGGTACAATCTATGGTAAGTATCTTTTAATATGTTCAAAATAATTGAAATGGATTGTTTTGATAATTCATGACTTTGATCATTGTTTCCACCTCAGTTTTGAAATAATTAATCAATTATTCCGATGATAGAAATCCATATATATATATATATATATATATATATATATATATATATATATATAACATGGATCTTAAGCTCTGAGACTTAGCATATCTTTTTATGAGTTATTCGAATGAAAAGCCGATTTATTCGCTGTTATAACGGTCGGTTTTCCAACGTTTACGCTTATCGGACGTTAATTTACCTTAAACAAATATCTACACTAGATCCCTCCCAGTGTCTATTCTACAGGACGTCAAAACAACTCATATCAAGAACACGTGATTAGCCTGACCACAACGTAAATATATTTCCATACCAGAAACCCGACACAATCCAACAACAATGAACAATCAATGATAATAATTATAAGGATAGGGAAATATATTACTCATCTGACACCTGTCAGACTATCTACATGTCCGACTAAGTAGACAACCAATCATTATCATTCTCGCCCACACATTACTTTCCTGGAGTTTCAGTATCACTTAAATAGAAAATCATCCTAGCTCTTCCTGCTGGATAGTATATTTTTAGTGTTTGCAAGATTTTGAAACAACATAGATTCTTTAAGTCTGTTTAGATCAGATGGGCTAAATACGATTTGTTTTCCCACACTCGTTAATCATGACCAAGGTCAATAATGCCTATGTTTAAACAAATAAACTAAAATTTCCCGTTTTATTTTGCAGATTGTTCGTGATTTAATTCCATTTCTGGCTTTGTTCACTGTTGTCGTAGCTGGATTTGCAATATTACAATGGGTTACTGCTTATCAATCAACGGCTAGTTTAAATCCACTAACAAATTTATTCACTGTGTTCAAAGCTTTACAATTGGCCTATTTCCAAGTGTTCGGTGAATATGAAATGAATACTTTATCTGGTGAAGGTAAACACCCTAGAAAACACTTTGACAGTTATGTATACAATTACTTTGTTTCAAAAACAATTTCATTAAAGAAAGTTTTGATATTTGCTCATGATGGGGTTCTTATGTCATTTTCCTGTCTAAAGTTTGCTTTTGTAGACCTTAATATGATCTATGTATATTTATCACATGTATCTGAAACATTTAGTTTAGTTGGAATCGTCTAAAAACAGAAGAAAGTATAATAAATTGAAACTGAAGAAATAGACTGTACGAATGGTTTAAAATATATTGTAGTGAACGAACACTCGGATGGTGACAATCAATATATAATTTAACATAAAATCGCAGAGTGAAAACCATGCATTCAATAGTTCATTTGCAAATCTTCCATCAACTGTCCTTTACATCCTCCATGATTCTTGCAATTCTCAAGTTCCTTGTGTTACCCTTTCTGTTTTCTTCAGTGCAATCTTCTCAACCTTCTTTTGACAGGCATTCAATTTCTGATGGTGCTAAGTACTACTTATGTCTGTCGATATAAGCATATATAGCATGCACTACAATATTACATAAAATAGTAAAGCGTTTTTACTTAGAATAAATTAATTAGGAAGATTTTTGGAAGCTAGAAGTAATTCACGAATGACTCTAGATATTCTTCACAGGAGAGTTTATGCAAACCACTTAAATACATTCTGAAGTCAACTTTTGACTACTGAAACAGTTTTATTGCATTTTCACGCATACAGGTTTTTCTGAAAGGAGAATGATGAGCAAAAATGATGACATTCACAGAAAAATCTTTATGTAAATGAGTAGATCAACTTAATCTGTTTCGACAGATCACTTTTTAATTTTCTATACTGATTTATTTCTTTTGATTAGTTTTATTGGACTCCTGTAAGAATGATAAAATTAATTGTCCAGGAGGTTGGTCCACTTGGCTATCACCAATACTTCTTGGTGTATATGTAATACTTACTCAAGTTTTACTATTGAATCTTGTAATTGCTATGTTTGCGTAAGTTAATTATTTCATTTTTAAATCTGTCCAATGAAATATGTACGCTTCTATATGATAAAAATAGTTAAGAATCTGTTGATGTGACGAATAGAAACTGTAATTATCTTGTGTTACAAAATTATGTCAACTGAAAAACGAAAGAAAACTGGAAAGCATCATAAATTTATTTAGATTTAGTAAATCATTCCCTAGGAAACCACACCTACAACCATATTCCATTAAGTTTGGAATAAATAACGGATCGATAGAATTAAAAACAAAACAAAAAACAAGAACAATCTAATTTCAACTTAACAAGCGATTAGTCTAGTTATCACTGTGAAAAAAAGTAAGTAAGTTCTGATTTCGATTCGACATGAAAATGTGAATGGGAATGATGAAAAGTTTCGAACAACTATTTACTCTTCTTTGATTTTTGTTAGTTTCTTTTTCTAGACAACAATAATTCTTTTCTACATCTATTGACACATGTCCAGTAATATTAACAAAAATTCATTATAAAAATAATTAGCTTAGTATTGTATGAAATATATTCAAAAACATTCAAATTAGATGTGCCTGTATTAACATAATAAAGGAGAATATAAATGATAGATGTATAAATGATAAGTAACATTTGCCAAGGATTTATTCTTTCTACTTCCCGACTCATGATAGATTTCGCTGAATCATCTGACATCTATGCATGATTGTGTTGATTAGATCTATGATATTTTCGTACATTATTAGCCATTTGTATAGCTGTATTTTTCCAATTGGATAAAATTGACAATCTATCAATATAAATAGAAGGAAACATATATTACTCTCCATTTTTACAACAATCTAAAGTAGGAATTCTGTAGGCACTTATCCCTTATTTTGTCATTGTCATTGATAATAAATTTAACTACAAATTATCTGTTATATTGAAGCCAAACGTTTAGTTGTTTCAAACGAAATCAATCTATAATAAATAAGATGATAAGTTGATAGTTATTTTGTCATTATAAGGGGAAAATATATATGACTATAAATAACCAGAAATTATTTTACTATTCATTTGATTTTTAAAAAACTTCAAGGTTTTCAGTCAGTACCCGGTGGTTTATATGCTTTTTCTGAAATAATAATAGTAATATCACCCAAGGATTACATGTTTAGTTTCATTACTCATATTATTAATCACTTACGATAAATTGTAATTTAAATACAAGATTCTAGTTTGACTTGAACTGAAGTAAAATATCCCATCCATCTGCATGTGATTTGTCCGCTTAGCTGATAGAGTTGATTGATATTAGCAGCTGCTCATGTGGCTATTAAGTTATGTAATTCCAATAAAATCATGACTGCAAATACTGATGAGTTTTCTGGGATGTTTTTGAAATGATAATTTATATTTCTTTTCTAATATTGTATTAGCTCTACGTATATGAGAATTGAATCGGCATCAACAAAATATTGGGCATTACAAAGATATCATATAGTAGGAGAATATGTGAATCGTTCACCGATCCCACCTCCTTTAAACATAATCTGGTATATTTACTTAATAATACGTTATCTAATAAGAGGCTGCAGGAAAAGTCCCCTGAAAAGTGATCATCCGTTAGTAAGTTTATATATATTTATTTATCTTACTCCAAGAAGAAAATAAGTCATAATGTAGTATTCATTACTAGTACAAAGCAGTTTGAACCTTATTATTAATTCATATTAATATTTTTTCTATAAGATTTTGAATTCAGTTTTTCAAGTCAAAACCAAAATTAAACTTTAAGGGTTTGCCTAAAGTGTTTTATATTAAAGAACTAGATGTGAATACTTTTAATCAAGAAACAATAAACTATACGGAAAGTCAGCTGCTTAAGTTAGGTATCCGTGCCAAATTATTTGTACTGAATTATTTATTTCCTGAGATATGCCTCATCAGATTCCAAACCCGTATCCTCCAAACGGCCTAAACACCATACTTTTTTAAACCATTTTAACATAGGAATAAGCAACTATCCAGTGCTCTCAGATTTTTATCGGTTCATCAGGTTATGACAGTTTGTGGTAAAAACTCACTTCCAAAACTAACAGTCTACACAAATCTTGTATCTTAATATTACATTTGGTGTCGATAAACGATATATATATAATTCATTATTACTGGCTTTGGGATTTTTCGGAAATTACCGAATTTTATAATTTACATCATGAACTGAAACTCAATAAACTTTACAATACCCTTATTCTTATCATAATCATATACTTACTTGTGACGTATTTCGAGAGGTAATGTCAAAATTCTAGTGAGAAGCCTTGACATACCAACGTCGTGAGGCAGTTAACCACCAGTGACATTGAGAAGTGACTGAGTAATATTGCGAATTGATGAAAGTTAGACTTGTAAACTACTGGACATCAGCTCAGTTGTCTGAAATCTAAGGAGTCATTACGAGACCTGAAGGTCACGCATTTGATATCGAGTGAGGTCATAGATGCGTACCACTGAAAAATACCGCACAAAGACAAAACAACTTTTCAGTGCTTCCTGGTTTTCTATGATTGCCTAATTACGGTCTGTTTATGATCTAAAGAAAAGAATTGATTACATTGACAATTTTTGGTATATTTTAAACATAGAATGTATATTTATTACTAAGTAATGATCAGTTTCTATGTGTTTGATAATTATTCTGGTAGTGTTTTAATGGCATTCAGTTAGCATGATTATCTCCTTTCCTTTTTCCTTATCTTAAGAAGTTGAATAATTTCATAAAGTGGAATATAAATGTCCACTTTTAATTTTACTCTGTTTCTGAACTTTATCAGATAAAATATCATCAATGATAAAATTTCTCAACCTTATCATAATCCGGAAGTAATAAAATTAAATGAGTCCACAAATAATATTTCTGTTTATTGTAGAGAATCATGAAATCAACCATTTTTTTGCACAACAGAAGTAATTATACCTTATACAAATATAAGTATAACAATTATATGAAATGAGCTATCATCAAGAGGGTAATCTACATAAGTGTCTCTAGTAAAACTGGTAATAATGTTTTAGAGTATCAATTGTTCCGAAAACAACTAAATGACTTACTCAGATGGTCGTTTCAATTTAATAGATTTAAATTTGTTTTTAATCTCTCAGTCAGTAGTAATAATAAATATAACACTGAAGTTACAGAATGAGAAAAAATATCGATTGATTTATTTATTAACAATTCTAGAAAAATCTTATGAATGTGGATCATCTCAAGAACTACGTCTTATACATTGGGAAAGATTACGTTTTTGGGATTATGATCGATATATTATTCAAGGTAAAAAACGTAAACAGAAAGAGACTGGAAAAATGGTCAGTGTTCGAACTACAGTAATGCAAATGAATAGAGGTGCTGAAATGTCATCAGAAATAGCTGCAGCTATCTCAACATATTATCATACAACGCAGGATCATCTAGCAAGAGTTGAATCAAAAGCTGATAGACTTAAAATTGTTGAAGAGAAAGTTGATAAAGTATTAAGCTTAATCAAAGAACTAAACTTAAAGGTATTTTGCTATTATTATTATTATTATTATTTTGTTCGGATTTTTGGTTATAATGAGATATACATTATTTACTACTTAACTAATGTATATTGGTTTAGAAATGTTACTATAACCTATAACCACCTTGTACAGAGTTGGATTGTTAAGGACTTTTATTCACTACACAAAGATCATGTACTTTTTTCAACCCGACAGCTTCCATTTGTAATTTAAATTATCATTAACGGAGTCTTAATTGATATCGACAGTAAATGTTAGAATATGTGCCTCTACTGAGATAATCATCTGTACTACTTAATGTTTGGCTAAAACATCTAATAATTTAAGAGACAAAAAAACATTTCTATTCCTCTCAAATCATGATTGACAACGATTAATGCCTTTTCAGTTTTCTTTTCAAATTAAAATTAATTATAATCAGCACTATGAAATTATAATGTTGAAGCAAAGGAGTGGATGCAAGGTTCCATAGAAATGTATACTTGAGCAGATCACTCTTCTCATCAAAGAGATCTTGAGCCTATAAACGTCGTGAGAAGAACACGAGCTCCATGTGTTACAAAATACAGAGTTGTAAGGAAGTTTTGTTTATTTTGGTAGAAGGATATGTATATGCGTTATCAGGTTTTGATAGAGAGTTTAAGAACAACAATCCCTTAGAGCAGTAAACTGATGAATGTTGCGTGATGTTTTGTAAAGATGATGATTTCAAATTTGGATGTCCATTCTGAAGAAAGGACAAATTTGTCGCGAGTAGTATTAATAGTAGAAGTTGGCTAACTTTGTCGTAAATGAGGTTACTTTTTTAAGCATTGTTGTCAAAGCTTTTATGCCAACCACTGTTCGACATGTATATACAGCACACATGAAAGTGAAAAAGTTGGTCAAAGATATATTTACGATTTTCTCTTCCAAATAACTTTCAAAAAATGTCACTTCAAACACATTTTAATTTATTAACCGATGGAAAGTACTAACAGACATTTAGTATGTTTACAAAACACAAGTCTTAATTAGAGTTGAATAAAATACCATTGGTATTTTTCCGTACAAATCAATAATATTTGAGAAACCATCAATGATCGTAGCAGACAGTTTGCGTTCGGATACCGGACAGAATTACTAACAAGTGAAAGTTATACTTGTAAACGTTCTGTTGAGTAAATTGGAGGAATTTCAATTGTCTGAGAAATATCTTGGCAAAGTATCTATGACATTAATCATAAACATCCATCACAGGCATTCTACGTCCAAATAACATATTCGATTAACTTAACTAAGTGACTACACTGAGCGGCAACAGACTAACAATATTAAATGTTGTTCAGCAGTTAGTTACTCAAGTATATCAGAATGACACATGAAAGTATTTTTATAAAAACGTTTTTAATCGTACAACACTCAACTATATTAATACTCTACATCAGAACAACATCAGATATTCATATTTATGTCTATTTTATAAGAAGTAGACGAATTGTCCTAGAATTTAGTAATTTCAGTCGATGATTGATAAACATTCAAAGTATTCCGCTGACAAACTTAAACCATTTCAAGAGAAAATAGGTTAACCAAGTGAACTAAGACAGATGGGATAATCCATGTGTATGTGAGACTAATAAGCATGCATGTTTTGTAACATGTGATTTCAATGAGATCAATGGTAATTCTTAAAATATCATCAGTCACTTTTATTTTCATAAATTTTCGACTTAATAGCTCTGAACTAAACACTAATAACTAAGTATAATAAATATTCACTTTCTTCGTCTAATCCATTCCTTCAGTTTTTTTCACTTACGATTGGATGTATTCACATCAATGAACTTATTGTAAACGTTATCTCTCGTAAATTTGTATTTGTAGAGATAATTATTATGTCAGTAGTAGAGCAAAATAATTGATAAAAAGCTGATAACCACTTTGATTAGAATAAGTTTAAATTGGTTTTGTTTTTGTTGTTTTTTCACGACTGTTTCAAATACTATGTTCAATATGATCTCTCTAGAAATTACAATCAGAAGAAACTCAACCTAAACAGCAAACAGGTAAGATATTTTATTTTCGTAATCTCTCAATTCTATACTCCGATTATTAAACAGGTATACATATATGTCAATAGTGGAAAAAAATAAACCCATTCGACTAATTATTAATTGTTTGTATTGAAGTAAATAATAACGAAAATCAATAATTCGCAGAAAACCGACTAGTAAATTTAATACTGTTTTCAGTAAAGTTGAAGACAAGTTTAGAAAAACTTAACCAACTGATTTCAAAAAATATTACCTACATGACTTGACTCAATTTGTAGTGAATGAGAACACAAATGGGGAAAATCTAATGCACTTGAATACATAATTACAGAACGTTTTAGTGAAATCTGAAAATCATACAGTAAATACTTCATTTGAAAAATGTCAATTAATCGTCTTTCATTGCCACACCAATCATTCTTTGTTTTAGTTCCCTTTTCTTCTTAACCTTCTGCCTCCAGGCATTTCACTTTCAATTGATGATATATATATATATATATATATATATATATATATATATATATATATATATATATATCAACATCTGTAGCACACCATAAAGTAACTACTGATGCAATTAGTATTTCGTACTAGGTCTATCAACATTTACAGAGAATATATTACACTTTTCTAGCCAGCAGGTATTTCAATTCTCTCATTTATTGAAATAATACTAATTATCTTTAGTTTTATTTCGTGAAAAAAAAGTAGCGAAATGAGACAAAACATGCATTCACCTTATTATTCAGTTATAGAAAATGAATTTTATTTCATTTTATCTAAGTTTAGAGAATGTTACCTACATAGTTTTGATGCATTTATTATTATATTTAGTTGGTCAGTTATTTGTTGTAAAATTTTTCAGAAGCTAATATTTAATTTAATATTGACATAGTTCGCAATAAGATCAAGAAAACTCTGTATGATCATCTGTAGGATTAGTTACAAAATACTATTTTATGTAAAAATCATTTTCGTTAAGGATTAATGATTTAAATTGGTGTCTTAAACTAAATTAGGTTACAATACTTTTTTTTTAATAAATTGTTATATATTAGAATAATAAGCCTTATTAATTAAGAATTAATGACTGAAAATTCTTTAACCTCATTACGATTGATAGTAATCATATTAATCTGCATATGATCTTTCTGGAAATACAGTAAATCAATATAAACACCCATAACTCAACCAAAAAGATTAGAAATACATTAAATCAAAAATTCATTAAGAGTGATGTTTAATTGATCATATCGATTTGTAGTGCTTGCTTTAAATTAGTCACTCTTCAGCCTTAAACCTATCACTAATGAAGTGATTAAATTTTTTGAGGGGAAACTGTTGAATATCAAAAGTTTAGTTTTATTTATTCCGTTATAAATATATCCTATTTATCATTACTAAGGATTTAGTAATACTATTTGTAAATCTCTTTTTTTCGTTTCTTTTTTCGGTTGTTTTATTTTTTAGGCATGGATACATCTCTTGGTTCAAGGCTTGAAAGAATACTTATAAGTTAGTGAAAAAACGCTCTTTTGTCCAAACATTTTAATTTTCTTTATTTAAATTAATGTATTTAACACAAGAGATTAAGAATTTTAAAACGGTGATTGTATTTATTTGTATTGCTTTTAGATTGTTATCTCAGTAAAAAAAAACATTGTCACTACGATGATTAATTATAATTAGGCCAAGTAGAAATATAAAATAACAAAAAGGTTTATTATAAGCAAATATAGGTGGTGACTATCAGTGGAAATCAAGACACCTGTTTCGTCCTATTTGGGCCTCGTCAGTTGGATATACCTGCATCTCAGAGTTGGTGTTCACTCTGAGACTCGAATCCAGTACCGTCCGCTCCAAACGCCATTGCGTTATCCACTTAGCTACTGAGTCGTGATAGCCACTTGCTTGTGCAATGGGGTGAAGTTTAATTCACTTGGTGGATAACGCGATGGCATTTGAAGCGAACGGTACTGGATTCGAGTCCCAGAGTGAACATCAACTCTGAGATGCAGGTACATCTAGCTAACGAGTCTCAAATAATACGAAACGCGCGTCTTGGATTCCACTGCTAGATACTATCCATCTTTACTTATGATGCTTGTAAATTAAGGCAATATCAAGGCAAACGCACAGTATGCACATATGCCAATAAGAGACTGATCAATTTCAGTCCTAAACATCAGTGTGAAGATTCAAATAAAACAGTACTAAGTGAATTAAAAAGGTTTATGATCATTGTTGAACTCATCTGAGGACGAAGCCAATGTTGGTATAAGTTGCAAACATGAATTTTTCTAGTTCTAATTTCGTATAAAGACACAAATTTCCTTCCAATATTTTTAATTAAATATATACATTGGTAATTTAGAATTACAATTTAAATGTCCCCTTGATTAAATGATAGTTTTCAATATCAATCAATACCAGTTGAAAAGTCTGCCATACTAGTGATAGTTACATAGTTAGTTTATCGAATGCAGTTTAGAATATCCGTGATTGTCTCTGAAACTAGCCTCATAGAAATCCACTCCTGCATTTGAATGCAGCGTCTATCTCATTTAAAGTTATGTCCTAGTATGTATGTTATGCATAGAGTAAGAAGCTGAAACACCCTAATCATTACAAATATAACATCCTAATCACTTCTAAGAATTTTCATGCTAGGTCACAGAGAATTGATTCATTCACTAATATACCTTTTTAACAAACCTATCTAAAACGTCTAATAAGACTATTATCTAAATTCAACTGTTCACTTCAACAAGCTTCCTTCTTTGTTTCTTGTATAGCTAAAGAAAAACCAAACATAGCTTACTCCAGATCAAAATCAACTGATCAACCAATGATAAAACTGATTCAAGGAACAAAAAGCAGTCAGCTAGCTGTTTTTGAAAAAGGATCACACAAATATGCAGGATTTGTGCCACCAACAGCTGATCGTACACCTCGTCTATTTCCTCATCCAATACCATGGGATGTAAGTGATTATATTTTAATATAAGTCTGTTATTAAAATTTAATAGAAATATTTCGACTCAAATGTTTTCTAAGTGAAAATTTTATGTAATTGTGTAGGTAAACGTTGATTGAATTTTTTGTAGCAGAAATGCAAAATTTTAAAAACTTGTCTATTTTTATGGCTAAACACTAAATGTTCCATTTGAATTTCGACATCAACAAGTTGTTTCACGTTGTTATTGGATAATCAATTGTTTGATCAAATAAATAGCTAGCTAATCTCTTTTTAAAATTCAGATACTGATCCAAATAAAGGTATCTAATAAAGAAAATACGAATGTTCTATGTTGATTATATACAAATATAAATAATACAATGACGTCAATTAACCAACCGAAATTCCATAATGCATACCTCTCAGTCACATTGAATTGAGTGGAACATGTCAACAGAGATGACTATGAATTCTACAACAAACTCAATCATTTACTAATCTTAAGTGATAGTTTCCAAGCTGCCATGAAATATTTTTCAACACTAATCAAAAAGTTCATTACTGTACGATGTTAGTTAGTTCACTATCATTTTAGTGTGTAGTGTATATAGATAATTAACTGATATTTATTGAATACAAATTGAAGTAAAAGTGATAAGTTTCAAATAAGGTGGTATGTAGAGAATGTTTAACGTGAAATTAATGTCCATTACGGCTAAGCAATAGTTTGATAACTATTGAAACGATATACCATAGTAGAGCTACTTCAACCTTATGTAAGACTCATCAGCGATATACACCAATAACATCATCTTAGTTCGAAATCAAAATCTTCTGGTCCCTCTGTAAGTACGATACCAATAACTGCTGAGTCAATATCGTACTCGTCGCAATGACAGAATGAGTTGCGTTTATACTCTAACAGGATTGTTAGTAAAGATCACGGAGGGGTCCTAAGAATGAGTGGTGGTATAGCTGGACATAATTCTAGTTTCTAAAATAAAGCTATACCCCAGAATGAAAAATTATAGTAGTGACTTGAAAGTTTCGCATGTAGCGAGAAGAATCGAATAAACAAGAAGACTATATTTCAGATATGCTTTACGTTCATGTAACAACTAGCACAAAATCTATATTCAAGGGTTCCTAACATTCGCTTTCAACCACCGGATAAGTATCAAGATATTGATTCAGGATGCAAATGAGAGTAAAAGTAGAAAAGTGTATCTCAAATGAATGATGTCTGTTTGAACATAAAAAAACACTTTTAACTTGGGAAAATATACACAATGGTTTATTTTTTACTGTCTAATTCCAACTAACAGAAAGGATGAGATATTCTATCTCTTAATTAATGATTGTACAATATGCCTTAAGAACTACTTGTCTACACATAAAAACTAGTTCTGAAGAACCATAATTTAGATTTTTTAAAGCTCGATTAAATTCTCAAGTAAATTTTACTAACGTCAAACGAAATCATATTATGTAAACTTTTGACACCACTGCGAAATCCATTGATTTGAATGCATTCAGATTTTATACTATTAAGCGTCAATATACGGTACACTAATTAAATATGTAATCAAAGTCTAATATAATTCGTTAATTTTTTAAATTTTAAGTTTTTCAGTGTTGTATGTTCAAAATAAGTTTAGGTTTCGTTTACAACATTCTCGCCCTTAGAGAAGCAATAATAGGAGACAGATTACTGAATTTATACTTATATAATCTACCATTAAATGTGCCAAGAATTAAAACCCTTAATTCATATAATGTACCAACTAGTCCACTTGAACATTGGATTTCTTCAAAAAGATACGTAGCATAATCAACGTACTCCACTTTAACCAAGAGATATCTTATTCTAAAAGTTTGTCTTAGTGATCTTTCAAATCATTTCACATTACAAAATACTAATCTATTTATTCAATCCCAGCAATATTATCATTTTAAAATTTAGTATGGGACTTACAACATTGTTGTGAACACTTTTGTGTTGTGACCTATGAGACCAAGAAGACGTTGAAAACAACCAAACCATAATTGACTTTTCCTAAGATTTAGTCTGCAACTATAACAAACTTTTTAATAAGCTAATTTATAGTGTCTAAACTCATACTACTATAAGATCATGGTATTTTTGTATATTGTCTCTTACAAGTAAAATCAATAAAAGCTAGAATGAAAATTCGGAAGTCAATGTTCTTTCCAATATAAGTCTGCCAAAGTCCATACTTAACTAAGTAAATTTTTAGTCAAATATCCTTTAAATGTATCTACACATAAGCATAATGTTTAATTTTACTTAAACATGATGCTTAGAGAACATTTCTACTAACATTGTGGTGTATGCTACTTATGTCGACAGATGTAAGCAGTAGGTAACACCGATCGAAAGTGGAGTGCTTGGCAGCAGAAAGTTGATAAGATTGAATACAAGAAAATGGAAACAGAGAGTAATCGTTATGAAAATGAGGGAACAACCAAGTCCGAGACAGTTAATGGGCATTCTGAAAATGAAGGATTGAACTTATGGTTTTTGTATTTTATGAATTAACTCTGTAATTGTGTATTACTTCCTCGTCCTTACCTGTGCTTTCGTTTATTGCAACATTATTTTTAAAAACATCTACATTTTTACAGTGGTATTGTTGCTTCAATTCTGATTAGGTTATTTTTCATTTGAGCAATAGAATACATAAAAATTGTTTGTTTAATTATACGAGTTAACAAAACAGTTTTCTTTTATTTGAACTTATAAAAGGCGTTTACAAAAAGAAGGCAAAATTATTGATTAAATATAATGAATTACTGAATAGCTAATGTCAAGTATTAAAATTCACTATCAAGTAATTATAAAGAATCTTTAATAATAATAATAACAATAATAATAATAGAAATTTATTCTATAGTTGAATTCACGAATCCACCATGGTAAACCTGGAAGCACTGGACGGCTGTTTCGTCCTGTTGTGGGACTCCTCAGCAGTACGCGTCCACGATCCCGCTCACGGGGCTCGAACCCAGAACCTATCAGTCTCGCGCGCGAACGCTTAACCTCTAGATCACTGAGCTGGCATCCAACGGTGTCAATGTCTAACTTCAACCAATTCACAAAATTGAGCCACCGTCCATCATTGTCTTTAATGATTTACTATCTCACAACAGATCTGGTTGAACTCCACTGGTGACAGCTTCTCACTAGTATTACTGAAGAGTTATTAACCAATAACATTTCAAATTATGCATCAATATGAATTTAAAACAATTTACAAAATAGAAATTTTCTGAAAATCTATCAATATTTTATTGATTGATTTCAGTTTAGTTTGATAGGTTTTTCCTATAATTAATACTAATCGAAAAAAGTGACATATTTTGGTAGAAATTATTATTATTTTCTTTTTATTTCAAAGGGCATTAGATAGTTGTTATGGTTTTATATTCTAAAGTAATGAAATGGTTTTGCTTTTTGATCTTTTGTAACAACTTCATGTTGCGTGTTGTAATTACATTTTATATATTGTACAGTTATTTTACGTTGTTTGTATGTATCATGAAAGTTTGAGAATATTCTAGTTAATTTATTCACTTGTTGTTTGATGTGTTTAAGAGAAGTAGTCACACTCGTGTTTTGTGAGTGTTCAAATGTAGTTCATAATCATGTTACGTTTCAGACATTTTTATCAATATGAACTGATTCTATTGATTTATCGGTATCTGGGTAAAAGAATACGTGTAGCAGATTATTTATTAAAAATGAAACGTAATATTCTTTTGTATTTATTCTTTAAAATGGTTTATATAATTTTTCATTGATAACAGAAACAGTCACAGAAACCAATGTGTTTAGGCTGGAAACCTCCAGTTTACTCAATTGAAGGATGGACTGAACCAGGAAATTTCGCTGAAATTTCAGAAGAAAGAAAGCTTCAGTTCAAAACACTAATTCCTAATGTTCCTCCTCCCGATCCAATAACTGGATGTCCTAGAAATCCTGGTGGTCGCACTGGAGTTAATGGAAAAGGACATTTACCTGAATGGGGTGCAAACTCAGCTATTATACTAGTCATTACAAAAAAGATAGGCAAACTTCTATCTGATTCCGAATATACAACAGAGGGAGATTTTAAAGTTATTGTTTATAAAAATCCGTTAGGCTCACAACTACCATGGGTGAGTTACCTTACTGTGAAGATTGATTTCTAATGAATTTTGAATATTAATCCATTTTATTTATATACACCTAAAAATTCTTATACAATAGGTTACCAACAACATGAACCACACAAATAAACTGACAATATTGTGAAGAAATTTTGGAGAGAAGGATAGTGAAGCCAATAAAGAATGAACCAGAAACGGATGTGGGCTTTAGTATGTGGATCGATAGTCAATGGTCGGGAAATAGGAGATTCTTATCAATGTTGCTGGGCTAAAATATCAAATCAACTGTCCGTTGGATTCGTCTACACAGAGTTTAGGGAGCTTTCGGAAATTTTGAACTGCATTGCAATCAACTTCAAAGATCGTGTCATTAAAACTAAACATCTTGCTACCAGTGTCTCTGATGAGTTGAAACAGCCACTCCCAATTACCAGGTCGATCTTCTTCCTTCAACTCATTCGCTTTATTTCTTGTTGTTTATAGAGGCTTTATGGGATTCTCTTAGTTGCGGATGTAGATGTAACATTATACCCATTATTCGCCGGAGTAGACCTGCTTGCGTCTCATAGAGTGGCAAGGAGTCTTCAGAGCTCTGTGTAGGACTATAAGTTGGCTGGTCACTGATAAGCTTTGCACATACCAAGGTATGATCAGAATTCAGAAAGATATGTGGAAACGTTTAAAGTTCGAAAAAGCTGTAGAGAGTGATAAACGTTATCTTACAAGGGAATACCGAGCTCTTCACTGAGTCTAGACATTCAACCTAGGAATGCAAACCTCCACGTAACTCTACGATATCTGTCGATGACACTTTCTTTAGATCATTTAACTTATGGTAGAGCTCATCTTTAATTACATCCGGGATGTAAGTGAATATTAAAAGCATAAATTGTTTCCTACTATAGTTTACCTCGCTTTTATGGGGCCTTCTAACCTAGTGTGATATGACAGAATAAGATGACACTAATTAGGTCAATATTTTTGCTTTAATTCATCATGAATTTTGGACGGGGTGACAAGTGTGAACTTCGTTCAATGTGACAATTATGTTGATTGCACCAGTTCAGGTGAACTAGATTTTGCATGTGTTTACAATCCCCCTACGTGTTCCTCCCCATAGGACCCACTATAAAGTGTGTGTAAAAATTCATATATTACTGATTGCATTTTGGTAATGGACGTGTTTTTGAAGAGTCAATAAATGTTCATTGCACCACTTTTTCGTGTTCTTACTTAGCGCTGTGGGAATTGAAGCAAATCACGATTGTCGAGAATAAGCAGTAAGACTACGGACCCAAAAATATCGATACGGACAGTCAGCTAGCACTGAGGTCACTCATTAAAGTAACGACCCCGGATTACACAGTGGAGACACGGTATAACAGAGTTGACCAACAGGCTGTAAAAACAACAACACCAACATTCTCAGCCTGAGCTACAAAAGTTCTCCATCACCTCGTAACCTAATAGTAGTCAAGCAACTGCTGTTGAGAATCTAATCGAATAATATTACCTACTCTGTGGCGTTTAGTACAGTCCCACGGTTTTGTTAACCCAGTACACTGAAGGCCAAGTGGAATATTGTTAAACATATACTTGTCTACATCGGCTTTTGATAAATATTAAACCGTCATTAGTTCATGACAAAGTTTGTCTCTGAATTGTGTTGAAACTTATTAATTTTAAAATTATTTAAACTATATGCATGATGAGTTAATTATCTAATCATCCTATCAGCCGCAAGTAATATCATTATTTAGCTCCATGAAGCATTGATTATATGTATTTGAATCCCCAGTATTTAGAGTAGAGACTTATATTGTGGAAGTATGAGCCTTAATCATATTCAGTAACATCAAGGTTCGGGGACCAGAATACTAAATAAAACTAATTCTCATGAACCAACGTACACCAAGAGATGACAAGGGTTATAGCTAAATAGCCCATTTTTTGGTGAATATAATGTTCTCTGTCATAGTTTTTACCAAAACTACATATGCGCTAAATAAAATCAGAAGAGATGGAGTTGTTTTATAACAAGAAATTTAGGAGTTCCACAAACCTTGATTAAATATTACGTTCTCAAGTAGCAACTGAAACACTAAAAGGAAAACACTCAAGAACAATTTATCACTGTCTACATAGATGGTATATTATTTGTTCATCATTGATATCAACGTTACGATTCAATGCATCTTTGCAACTTAGAAAATTTTGAAGTTCCTGAATTTCAAACCTGTAAGGTATATAATTTTAATTAACGTCGTTACTGATGAGATATTTGAGGTTAGCTTAACTGAGCAGTAAAAATAATTGTTAACACTGATTCACCAGAAGATAGTAGTCATTGTTGTTCTCAACTTAGAAGAATATAGATATTTCCTTTTAAATTATGAAAACAGAATTTTTTATAAACGATATGGTACTTATTAATTTGTATGTTTATAAATACAAAAGACTCAAGTCTACTATGGAAAACTCTAGACTAATATTTTCGTTATTCAGGACTAACAAAACTATCAAGTGCCTTTGTCCTTATGACCTAAAATTCAGGTTTTTCTACACAAACAGCTATATAAAATTCAAACCGTAAACATAAACAAAAACGATAAAGTCTATAGTAATTTTGATTAAAAAAAGTTTAGATTATAAAGTTAATTACTTTATTATTTTACTTGATATCAAAAGTGATTACAATGAACGATATGAATTAGGCATTGCATGTATTTATCTATTAAGGGGAAGTGTTATTTGAACATTGGTTCCTTCAATGAGCATGTTAAACATTGAGTTTACTCAAGTATACAATTTCACTACCTGTAGAAATAAGTAATCAGTACCTCAGGGTTCTACAGTAAACTTTAAAGAAATCGATATTAAAATTTGCGTAACAGTGATAAAATAAAGTGAAAGATATCATAAAATGACTCGAACAGTATCATGACATAATAAATTATGAAAAGATTATGCATACCAAACTTAATAAGTTGATGCAGCTTAAGGTTATTTTAAATAATAACATAAACGTTTAAGATAAATTAAAAATGATTTATTTTCACAGCAAACTAGAATATTTAGTTTTGAGTTTGAGTATTCACTAATAAATGGATTCAAGTTCTTCTGAAAATGATAAAATATTATTAATTATAAGTCATAGAACTTTTATAGTAAATCAAATAAGAGTATAGAATTATTAGATTTAGCAAAATGTAAGTTTATAATTCATTAATGATTTTTACTTTGAAATACAAGTACATTCTCATTGGTTTGTCTATTACTTTTGAAATGGTCATTTATTTTATATTATCTTATTTTTAGTTTCTAGTTCAACATCCTACTGGTTGTAATCGTAAAGTATGTGTCAACGAAATATTTGGTATTCTCACAAAAAATCGTATGAAACACTTGATAAAATCGATGCCAACAAAGAAAACAACTTTAGTAGAAACTGTGAAAAAGTTCAACAGTTTAACTACAAAAATTGTAAGTTACATATTATCCTTAAAATTGTTATTTATTGTTTGAAATTCAATGTAATGAATACTTTGCTTATGAAATGAGATTACAAGTGATGAACTGTTTATATTACAGTTAATCATTGATAATGAGCGACTTGGAAATATTGTGTATCAGTCGGAGATGATATACCTCATATATTGGTACAGCGAAAAATGAAATTTACAAAATTAAAAACGAAAATAGGTGTAAACTATAATATACATGAAAATAAAAAACAAATTAGAAGTATATTCCAAAGAGAGCAAATGAATGAAGAATGAAAAGTATAGAATGACATAAAACTGAACAGTCAAATAACGACAGGAAGCAAATGAAATCTCACTACTGTGGTCGATTTCGGTTAATGTTACATTACGTTTCTAACCATAGATTATGACTCTCTCTCTCCCTGTTACTGGTAAATGAGAACCTGGTTAACTCAGCGGAATAAATGAATATTTACAAAAACATGCTCATTATTTTGTTAGCATACTAAGAAAGAATTAATTTCAGTAACTTTGATGTATTTTTGCCATACATTTCGAATAACCTAATCACATATACACTCAAGGTTGGCTAAATAAAAAGTTGGACAAATATAAAATTGATAATTTGAAAACAAAGTAGATGAAAAGTAATGCGATAGGGAAAGAATAAGTTGGCTCATCATCCTAGGAAGATCCAAGATAAGAATTAGTATATTTGGCACACGAAAATAAGGTTTGAGTTTTCTAAAGACCACGGCTTCCTCAACTGATAATCTCCATATAAAACTTTTAAAGCTATTTTAAGGTTCAATCCCATGAAATGTTTTAACTATACATTTTTCCATGGGAAAGTACAGTTTTCTGAATCCCATGTTTGTCAAAGCATTTCATGATAAGTGATTACACAGCCACTGAGATATATGCTCTACTACGCTTCGTTGTATTGTATGATTAACCCCCTTATTTTTGTCCACACACTCATTACTCTCAAACGAGTAATTGATCAAAAGACAGTTACCAACTCTATAAAACAATTCCTGATAATCAAAAAAGCGCTAAAAATGTGGTTAATAACAGTTGGGCATCAGTTAACAAAACGTTAAGCCTAAGAAACTAAATTAGAAAGTCATCAAAGTCAACTGTTTGAACATCGTGTCAAATTCTAACGTAAACGCTGGCTTGTTCATAAAAATGAAGCATAAAAGTGTGCATCCAAGTGTTTGATAACGTGACTGGTAGATAGTTCAAAACTTTTACAAACATCGCGAGTGTAAATACTTAGAAGTGCTTTAGGGGGATCAGAATTTTTCATTGGTAGTTGTCTTATAAATCGATGAAATACATTTATCTTAATTTTTTACTTCACTTACTCATAAATGTCAAAAATGTAAGTTCGTAAAAATACTGAATATGTTCGAATGTTCAACTAGAAAGTTGAAAATGTACATTCTGCAATCAAAGTTTTGAGTACTGAAACACCAAGTTTCGTCATCTTAACAACATAAAATTTACTTCAGAATCTGTTAATCTTGTCGACTCGTAGGTCTATAAACAGTTACACATAAAAGTGACTGATAAATCTCAGCTTGTCAGCATTAGATATTATGATTTTCAGATACCTTTGTTTGATTCAAAGAATGAACTTTTTGTTTAGATATATTCTGGATATTTGGATGATACAATCAACACAGATAACGCCTGGATCGAACCAACTGTAGTCCATAAACATATTTCTGATCCAGATTTTGATCATGATGAACTTATTCAGGTAAATCCAATGACTTTCTAACAATATTTTAATGTTTATCAGAAAGAGTATACTTTTGTCGGTGTTGTGAAATTGGGCCCAATCTGCAATAATATGATAATTAAAAATATTCGAATTATCGTATTAACTAGGAAATCCCGAAAGTGCAATTTAAGCCAAACAGAACTAGGTGAGCACTGACGAACGTATTGTATTTAGAACTCGAAATCAGACATGCATCAAGTAAAAAAGAATAATTAGTTCATACAAGCACCACAAATAAGCTATGGACCTACATTTAGTTTTAGTAGAAACCCATCAGTAATTCAAATCTTTAGTTTTGGGGTAGCTGATGTTTCATGTAAGGTTAGAATCCGTCTCATATAATATCATGGGCAGAAAACTTCACTGAATTATTAAGCTTGTGACCGATTTCTTGAAGAACTAAGGTGTTCAAAGTACCCTGTTTCTAGTTATTTCATGTTAATCCTCTGTACTATTTTTCATTGTGCAGAAATGTAGGCTTGTTATGTTAAAAATGTCGCATATAAAGTCATTGAACGAGATTCAACTTATCATGCTCTGGTGAACTAAATACCCATTATATCCCGACACATTAGAAAGTTAACTAGTCTCTCAATTGTATTTAAGTACCAAACATCAGTCAGCTAACATCGAATCATTTGTTGTTACTATCCCTATTTAACCAATATATCACCTTTACTCCAAAATATTAAAAGTAAGCCCCGGGTACTAAATTGGTGTATGCGTCAATTTTATCTACGTGAATCTTCTCATCTAGACACTTAGAAAGGAAAGACTTGATAAAAAAAATTCACAGCACACTTATGTTTGTGGTAACCTATTATGGCTTACTGGTCGTGACCTTAATCAATTAAGGAAACTTGATACATTAGGTCACTTAATGTAACCTTGTGACAGAAACATGTGAGTTTGACTATTTCTGACATCACCTTGCAGGCAAACTATCGAAATGGCTTGACTATTAACCTTCTTTGTAGACAATGACTAGTTACGCTGATCATTTTTCTCGAAAATACCAATAAACGAAAAGACGAGAAGTAATAGTACAAAATCGCTATGTTTGGATGGACCTCTAACTCAAAAATCTACATGCTTAAATAAATGAACAACCCGACCACAACGCACCATAATTAGGAAAATGCAACGTGCCAACACAAGTAATTTAGAGTAAACATTGGAATACAAGGCTCCGATTAGCTTACCATAAATAGGGAACAGGAAAAATTTAAAAAGTTTACAGATCGAACGGGAGCATGGGACTGAGAAGATAACGAAGACACACTAACTAAATTTTGGCAATTGTAAGCTAAAAATTAAGTCTAACGATGTTCGTGTTTATTCGTCGCAGCACAACAAAGTTATTCAAATGGTTGCTCAATACTTATTTCGATGACGTGTACCTTAAGTCAAAATTCAACTTTTCACTAATCAATTAAAACAAGAAGATGGAATAATCATTAGTACAACTCTATCTAATGCTTTGCTTTGTAGAGTGCTTCAGTAAAATTACTCGAATATTGTTTTCGTGTTAATGTACACCGTAAATGAGAAGACGTTGTCTTCACCGACCTACAATTTACTCTTGTAATTGTAATTATAGAAAAGTTGTAAGTGGAACTTTGGCTCATTGGATAAGGTAAATTGCTCTCAACCAGCAGGTAGAAAGTTGAAACCCCAATTCACATATTTTAGTTTGGAGATCTAGATACCATTATTGTCCTTCACTCGAACGGTGTGACTATACTTAATGAGTTATCCATTTTTCAAAAATTACATTCGTAAACTCTTAGTAAATAATCAAATTCTGTTTAGTTATGAGCATTCGTGAAAGGTGATAAGTACAACAGTGAGACATTTTACTTTATCTATAAAAAGTTGAAAATATTTTTATAAAATGTCATTTACCTATATTTTTAGTTACTCACTCCGGAAGGAATTAATGCGGTATGGTTAGATTCAACAAATACTGTAGGCATGAGATCAAGTCATGAGAAAATTCTTCGACAAGTCAGAAGACGAATACAATCTTCCAGTATAGACATATCAAAAACCACAAAAGAAGTCACATTCCATGAAGAAAATGTGTGATTAAAAAATAATAAAACATCTATCAAATATACTTGCTGAAAACTAGTTGGTGCCTAAATTTTCACGTAATTAGTTGTAATTTTGTTGTATCCCAGAAAACAGATTTGAACATGTATATTCCACTATTTTGATATGTAATAGAAATATTCCATTATTGTATTCCAAAGGAAAAAGATTTTCACATGAATTTGTACAGTAACACTTCTGAATGAAGCTGTTAGATATTTGTGCAGTTAATGTGCCACGTTTAGTGATTACCATTCTCAATTCGAGTAGATTAATCCTGCTGATAATAGACGACAAAACGTCTTTCACGTATCACTTTTCTTGGTTGCTTATTTTGCATTCTATCCAGCTAGTATTGTAAACGTTTACTGAAGGATACACTTTGGATACTCAAATAAATACTTTTCTTTACCGTCATTTTACATCATGTATTTTATTCTTTCTGATTGTTTTGTTATACGAATACGAATAACTTGAATAACACGTCTTATGAGCTGAGCTTATTACTCGTATAGTCCTCATTACCACGTAAACGATTGAACGCCTAGAACCGATGGATTCTTTTAAAAAATGATGACTTATGCATTAAGTACTATTAATAACTGGTAAAAGTTAAGCAGTGAGTGTTATAAGCAAAATAAACAGTGGTAATCTTGTATTAAACGTATAAATTAAAATTGCAAGAGACTGTACAAACGTCACCAGGATTTATTTGATTGAGATACACCAGCCTTAAAGTTTGATGAAAACAATGACCATTTCTTGATAGTGAAAACAAAGAAGTGGGATTAGATAGAATGTGAATCTCAGATTGTTTTATATTCCATGTCTATTTAACTGTCAATTATTATGCGCAGTGTCCACACACTGATTCACACTTTATATGGTAAGAACCACTAAGATACTTCGACCCACTTAAAAGACATACAGGTTGTAAAGATTTTGTGAAAATTGTTCCCCCTCTAGCTGATGACTGAAAAAAAATACTTAAACCTCTCAAAAACTATAATGAAGAACCCCTGTGATCCCATAAAATTTGATTGACAACTGATTTGTAACTATTCAGCATTTGAAGCAACATCGTATATCCAATTTTGAACTTATCAATAATATCCTATGAAAGTATTGATTAGACACCAATTTTATGTCCATTAAATTGTGCAACTGTTTGTGCTGATACTAAAAGATGAATCCAGAAAGTTAAATAAATGTATTTCATAAAAAGGATGTGAAATCAAAAAGTTGTTTAACAAGATTTTCTACCAGAATTTAACCGTTCTCTTAACCACTTTAGTGGCCCGGGATCTGATTCAGTTGGATTGTACGAATGATTGCTGTCGAAATATACATCCTGACTATTGTCGTATATAATTATAGACTTAATCCACGTTAGTGAATAACGGAATTAAATAAGCCAAATACGAGAATGATTTTCAAATACGCATATTTCATACAATCGTTGATCCAGGCAAAATATCTGAGATGCGAAGAGAAGAGAGCGAAGCGAAATGACGCACAGTGGAGAAGGCGTGTGACCCAACCCCACTTAACCAAGGGTTAATCAATATTTTTAGTCGCACAAAAATAACCTACAGACATGTGATGAGTAGGATAAGATGTACACACACATACGCTCATATAAAAACATTCAAGGTTAATAAGTGAATAATTAACAAGGTTAAAACGTGACTTAAGGAGAACGAATAAACTGGACTGTCCAGAAGTTAGAATAAGGTATATGAGCTTGACACAGTATCGGACACTGCACCACATCGCAAATACAAAGGACAACACCTTACTATTTAAATTACTACAATAACTACTATGACTTAAGCATTAGCAAACAATTTGTTTTAGTTTTTCCTCTATAGGCAGGTATCCTTATTTAGGAAACAGAAGCGGGTCGATATAAATCGACTACGGCATACTACAAACTAGATAACAGATGTATATTACCACATACACAAAATAAAATGATTTTATTGATAAGATAAATAATTCGGTTTTCCAACTTCGTCCATAGATTGTTCGGAAAATCTTATTGAATATTAAAAATCTAAATGAAATCCCAAAAGTCGACTGAATAAATTTCAATTATTATCACTTCGCCTTGTTGGTGCATACCAACAACTAAGAAAATGAGGACCATGGCTCTATAAATTCAAAACATCAAGTGTATCGTCAAGTCGTTCAACACAACAGATGTACTACAAGAGTTCGGTTGGCATGAACTAGAAATCATACTGAATAATTACTAGTAACCGAGGCGCTTTAGGCAGATTGTTGCAAAATTCATAATCTGACATGAAAATAACATCTAGGTGAAATCATTTTTGCACCAAAATGTGTACGTTGTAAAAAATTATACTGTTCAGTAATGCAAGTCCTACAAGTTTTATTACGACAGTGCTCCTCAAACAATGCTTTTATAATTAGCCATTGGAATTACCCAGTGATTAATTACTAAGACAGCTGACGAGCCTTTCTTTGTATTAATGTTTTCTAAATAAACGCTCGGACATTTTTGTTCATCGTCTATTGATAAGACCTCGTAAAGGTGGATAGTGGAGATCAGAATGCATACACCATTCTTCTTAGTTGATAATCAATGTTTACGCTTCAGTATCGGAGTTCCATTAAAACCCACACCAACTAAAATCCGGATTTATAGTGCTCTGTATTCCGAACATACTTGGCGTTTGTGGAATAAAACCCCACGCTTTAATCTACTGCACGTTCCGACAGACAACGACTAACCTTGAGTTCAGGTCGAGAAAATCGTGACTTATTCGTCTAGGACCCGCTCTTCTATTCCTAGTAGTGAGCTCGAAAAATAAGTCGGAAGGCAAGCCTCTGTGATATTTACATCACACCCTAAGTTTGAAACCATATTTCACACACAATTAAGCTGAGTGACAAATCGGAGAAAAATGTGAGCAATTACTTAGCAATAATGAGTCACCGCACAAACTATTGATTCAAATACCAGTTTACTGAATATGTTATGCAAGTAAACAAATGGCAATGTAAGCTTTAAATACTTTGTAATTATATGAAATATTGATGATGAAGTAGTTATCTCTAGACTCAATCTCAAACCTGAAAATCCTCAATAATTTAAGCTGAGATATATAAAGTGTATCCAAGAAAGCATAACTTCTTAGTGAGTGACTAAAACATAACCTGGGCACAGTATCAAGATTATGTTTATCCAGATGCGATATTCGGATGATCCCAATTCATATTGTGCTGACTGAGATTTGCAAAAACTACACCAGCAGGGAGATAATTCATATTCTCGTAGATTCGGAATACCTTTGTTTAGTAACCGAAATATGCATTATTATTAAGCTAATTATATTTTTTTGATTACTTATAGGACTAAATTATATACGAGAAGTAAGCTAAAAATAAAGATATAATAGTACAGATATTATGGTATTAGCCGAAGGTTCGAATGAGAAGTTCGGGTGTCTAGGCGTAGAAGAAAGTTGTCTAGGTAGCCAATCGGAACTTACACTGGCAATACCATGATGAGCTACCGCTGGCGTGCTTGTGCACAGGACTGCCACTCCTTTCGAAGTGCTTATTCGGACCCTGATCATGACCCTGTTCGCGCTAATCTTACCTTACGTTTCCGTGGCCATCCTAGACGTATTGATGTCAGAAAATTGGTTTCAGCTTCTGTTGCAACTAAATATCAAACCGAGATAGGTTCAATACTAGCTATCAATCCACCAAAAAGTATAGATGAGCATTGGCTGCAATTCCATGACACCATGGAAATAGTGAGTCAAGTCGCTTGCAGCTTCACGAAACGTCCCGCTTGTAGGCACTGCATTTCTACAGGCTTCTCAAACTCGTTGAGGAACGTCATTCTACTCTGGGTGACCGTGAGTTTGACCATAGACGAAGATTGTTGTGTAATGAAACTGTACAAAGCTCGCGTAAGGACCGAGGAGTCTAATAGTCGGAGTTCGCCAACAAGTTGGAATCAGCATCTGCACATCGTAACTGCCGGAAGCTCTTTCAACTCATCTGAGTCACTTGCAGCGAGAAGTCTGGTGTCAGTGAAGTAATCTGTTGGATGACGGAATGCAAATCATTAACATATACGACGTCTTGGACGGTGGGCAGAGCCTTTCAGAGAGCAGTTCAACTGGTCTGTTGCCCTGACGACATCGACCAGACTGTCCTGCTTCCAATGGCCTGTAACGGCTAATCCACAAAACGAGGCGGAAGGGTGCAAGGAACCCCAACCCCTGAAGCGCCACAAACCGCCAGGTCCGGATGACTTACCTCTAACCTAATATTACAGATAGTGACAACCTTCTGGTTATCGAGCTGACGGAGTCGTTTGCAAAAGTTTGAGAACTCTGGAGTGTTCCAACATCATGAAATGAGTCGATAATCGACCCCATCGTTTACATCATATATGTAACAGCTACGAGGTAATAAGTATACTTCCAATTGTGTCTAAATTGACATCGACTCGCGAGAAATAAGCTGGTTTCATTCCGGTCGAGGATGTATTGATCGTATCCCCAAACTCCGCCAAATGTTATAATACAGCCATACTTCTTACAGGCCAACAATCGTAGTGTTCCTTGACATCAAGGCCGACTTCGATTCGATGGACAGAACTGTTTTCCGGGATTGTCTATCGGAGAAGGGTTTGCATGAGTTTATTGACATAAATACAAACACCTCAGGCAGAGTGAGAGCATACAACCACCTATCTTCATTGCTTAATTTAAGCAGTGGGTTACACATGGTTGCCCAATCTCGCTATTTCTCTTCAATTTTGTCACCGATGGTGTTCTGAAAACAGCTATGATGAACGTAGGTAATGGTGGTGTGTATCTGTTACCTGGAGAAAGATTTCTCGACCTTGAGCATATGGATTATATCGTCTTATTTTGCGACGATACCCAATCCGCACTCAATCAATTGGCAATTAGTGTTCGTAAGAATGGCATGTGCTTTCTACCTTCGAAGTGCAAAGTACTTTTACAAGACGGGTAGGACCCTGAACCTGCCTTCGCCTAGTTAGCCTGGCCGTGTGCTTGTGAAACCATGCCTGTCCGAGTTGAGGAGGTTAGATGACTCTGTGTTTGATCATCATTGTCTCTGAAGTATTGCTGACAGACAGTGGCAACACTCTGTTAACGATTCAGAGGTTCGACAACGAATGTTTGGGCAAAGTGATAAGTCAATTAGTGTCACCATCTTCAAACACCGACTTTAATGGCTTGGACATGTACTGTGAAGGCTGTCACAGCGAATTCAACATCGTGCATTGTTTACCAATGCTGGGACTGGTTGGGAAACGTAGAGGTGGTCAGTGTATGAAATGGTGTGATAGTATGAAAGAAAGCTGTACAGGAGTGGGATCTGTTGGACCCTCACAACTTAGTTGGGTTCCCAGATATAGTGCAATATAGTGGTTTGGGACGCAATCATCATGCATGATTCAAAAGAGAAGTCAGGGGCGATCCTTCTGCAATTTTCTTTATAAAAGCGAGAGTAATTTCTATAACTGAAAGAATCCCTTCTGACTGTATTTCGTTAACTAACTGCTTCCCCCATTATCATTATTTCACTGTCACACTAATTTCTGTTCATCGATATTGTGTGGCCCATATGCATTTAGTCCCCGTTGTACACATGTTTGTGTTCAAATAAATACATAAATAAGTCTTGAAATTAATACAAGCTTCAAAAATATCGAGAAATGAATACATTTCTCGTATAGTATTTGCCATTCATGCGCAAACTTCTTTGAGAAAATAATAGTAAAAATGCATGCACAAGTTCAGTGTTATTTTGTTTTATTTAGATAAAAAGCTTTATACAGAAAGAGATCAAGAAAATGCATGAATACATGGAAGAGGAAATCGTAGAATAAAAACAATGAGTAGCGGAGGCTACCAATCGAATAAAAATACAACATATATTAAGGTAATCTTAAAAGTACATTTTATTGACCTGTGACTTGGGAGACTCTATTTAAAATGTTATGATATTTCTACAGCTTCTATTCGCACGCAGCTTTTTTAAACTTAATGACTCATGTTAGCTTTTCCTATTCAGTCCCATAGTCAGTACATAAACCTTTATAGACAGCATCTGAGATAATATACGTATGACCAAGGTCGAGAAGACTTCACTTTAATTTTTAAAGTACTTTCATATGACTGTGTTTATAATCCCCTTCGGAGGAATTTTTATTCACTAGGACAGTGGTCTTTCGACATACATTAGGTGACCGTCCGATATTTAGGCTAATTTATTGAACCCAGAAATTACACATAAGAGTTAAAAATAGCTTAATTTTAAACCACTGTTGTAGATATTTCAGGATCTCAAAACGAACGTCTTAAACCACCTTCATTTATTTATTTTAACACAAATATTGGTACAAAGGAGCACAGAATTCATATGCATCACACAAGTCACTTGATTTGTGTGCGGGCTGTGATACTGCCCGGGTGCCCAGGCCAAAGCAGGTGGCTTTCTTAAGGAGCCACACCCAGAGCCTTCGACCCAAAGGTCTGACCCACAAGGCACTGGAGCAACGTCGGGAGATGCAGTCCCACGGAAGCCGGTGACAAACGGTCCTGGAGCCAATGTGCATCATTGGTTTGAAACCAGAGTTTTCCAACCACCCTAGGTGGAATCTCCATATCCACCAACCCGGTTAAAGCACCGGACGTTCGCTTTCGGTCCTTTCAATTTCGCAAACACCCCCGCCGCGAAAAGACAGTGAGTAGGACTTCCCTGGCAGTGGCTGTATACGCGTGGCCATGTGAGAGTATTTCGAGAGAAAGAGCTAACTATCTCCACCCTCGGTCGTACCAGGGCATTTGGGGGCATTAAACTACTTTGACCACCATAAATTGTGGAGATACATTTAAAATTGCTTTGATGCCTTGTAGGTTACACTTAAGTATCCATGTGGTATAATACAATGCAAAATGAAAAATAAAAATAATAGGACTAGTACAAACTAAATATACCTCAGATAACTTTATTTACATGTAGCATAAATCAAAACTAGAGATTAAACCCTACAAAATGGATCCTTCATCTAAATAGATGTACCCTTTTTATAAACTAAATTCCAAAGGAACCCTCTACACGTAGTCAAGACAACTGGACAACAACCACCTAAGTCTGTACGACAAGCTAATCTGGCTGAATGATCACATGGATGTATATTATCTTTCTTCCATGATTAAAATAATGAAGATGAAATATTACAAGTTTCAAACAAATGAGAGTTAATCATTAGAGTACAATCTGGGACGAACGCCCAATTTGGTTTTAGTATATGGCGTATTACAACAAACTGAGCAAAAATTAACAAGATGAAAAGTAGAAAAATATATCAATGACAATGGAGGTTTAAACGGGGGATAACTACTTAGTTGATTTTAAAATCAAATGAACACTTAATCATATCCTCAAGGGTAAATCGCTTATTTATTATAAATTGTTCGTACGTATGGTCAATGTATTAAATATACAAAAAAAGTGTTGTACCACCGACTAAATGATAAGACCATGACTAGGCTTGTCGCCAAATGACCCGGTCATAACCAGATACCTTCAGGAGAAAATTCTTTTCATTATTACTTAGTCACCGCTATAATTCTATTCCCGTATATTCACACTTTGTAGACACTCGTCATTAAGAATCAGCACTCTATTCGTGTGCAAGAGTACTCACTAGTTTTTTTATTGTTGTTCAGAATAGAAAAAACACTAAAATGTAGCACTTCATATTTGAGTATAATTCTTGTGGTTTTGGGAGTACATAAATCATTCTAAAATGTTTTTTTCGGACGGAAGGTACTAATTTAGTATAGAATACCAGTTGGGAAGTTGGATTTTGTAAATTTGGGTACGAAAATAAAAACAATTATTGCTCATCATAATGAACTAACAAAAGTATATGACACATGAGTATAAAAAATCCATTCAGTTTGAAATTGTTCCTTTCATCATTTCAAATGCAGCAACCATTCTTTCACGAGTTTCATTGAGAAGTTGATCAACTTGTGATTTATTCATCCCCTTAGTGTCAATTTTCGGTAGGACCTTCACTTTGTAAGTGGCTGAGTTATAAAAACAAACATGAACGATGTTATTATCGTCCTAAAACTTATAAATTCTAATTTTTTAGTTTCTTGAACAGGAAAATAATTGAATGTAGTTTGAAGCAAAACTAGTTACAAATGCACAACCACTTGTTTACTACTACTGCAAGCTCTGAACAAAAAGCCAGATGATGAAATAAGTACTGTATAGGTAATGTTAATATGTGATCTATAGTCCGTTTTGAGCTTCCCCAAGTTATGAGCACTTAACTCATCTTATTACACATACTTTCAAGGTACATAGACAAAGGTCGAGTGGAACTGGTTAATTCATAATTACGCTCACTACTTAGTGCCAACGGTACAACCTGGACAATGAAGAACCTGAATTTCAAGATTGGCACCTACAGATAATGTATGTAATTAGGTAAAAATTATTGTTCAGATAGTTGATAAAATGGATAAGGGTTTGTCCTGGAACTCAAGGCAGAAGACTCAATAGTTGAAAATATATATTACCCAGCCAACCTGAGCTTTAGTAAGAGTACGTTTAGTTGCGTAATAAAGACTAATGTAAATCAACTATTAAGTTGATATCTTCAACCTACATTCATGTATAACAGAAAACTTTTGATGTAATAAAGCACTGAAAAATGCTAAACTCAAGGTTGAACAGAACCTCGAAAAAATAGGAGGGGAATTGTAGCATTAATAAATGAATGAACAAGAAGTGTTGAAACGCAGGTGAACTGAAAATACAGTGAAGACATATATCAATGAACAAGGTCCATTCTGCTTTTATGAGTACGACAGTTTCAGCAGTATTGTCGATGGTGACTATAAGGTATGTTTGATAATGCTTCAAGTCGGCGGGGGGGTGCATGATCTCGAGAACTCACTCGAGATTATAGTAGGTCCCGGTCTTACACACTTATTTTCCAGCATACGGAGTCACAAACTAACTGGTTCGTCATCCTAAGCAGCTAGTGTCCGCAAACAACGTGCGGTTTGCAAAATGTGGAGTCTATGATTAACCCTACGGTCATATACCAAACGTTGTGAGAAACACGACCAAAACAATGCTATTTAGTAATATAAGAACATGTTAGGCGAGAAATAACGTTTTTCAGAATAAGTATCAACGATTCTTCCCTAACTTCCACCGAGATCACCGGTCATAAAGTGAATCCACATTTAAATTATTTTGCTAGGTGTGTTCGTTATGTCTACAAACTACATACTTGTTGTGCTACGCATACATATACGAAATGACTGCTAGTATCTTAATAGATGCAGCGAACTGAAAATATGGTCAAACGGGTGGGAACAAATACTTAAATTACTGAATTACTCAAACAGTCAATTAGCGAGACTAGTTTATCGACGAACCAATTAGATTAAGGATCACAGGTTTTGGTGCGAAACTCATTCATCTATTTGGCTAAATAGCGTTCCGCATTTTAGCTGACGTCAGTTCATGATGAAAACCCGAAATCGAACTCCTAACTATAGTCATTAGCTATAAACCAATCTTTGTTCTTGACACTGGTTTATAACTCTCATTTAGCCCTAGTAAACTGCTGGGCATTCACAAGGTCACTTTAGAGTTGCTCAAAGGTCGACCATGAATCACAGCCTCACTCGTCAATTTATTCCTAAAAATAAACTCACCACTTTTAAAAAGTTTCTTTTTGTGGTCAAGGAACTTTGCATACGGTTCAATAACAATAGGTTGGATCGGAAACTTAAACTTAGTGAGTAATATCAGGTATTACTTGACACTCGATGGCCATGTGAAATGCTCCCTTTTTAAAAGGCAAAAGATAACCGGCATCGGATCTTGTGCCCTCAGGAAAAATGAAAACCGAGACCTAGTGAAACAGTCAAAATGAAAAGCATTTACCTTATCCTGTTTGGCTTCTATGGCAGCTTTCTCCATGGCAGAAATAGCATCAGTATGATGGGATCGATCAATGGAAATAGTCTTGCTCAGCCACATAACTATTCCCAAAAACCCCATGAATCTAAGTGAAGCTTTGGAAACTACCGAGCAGCGTTTTGGCCATATGTCGCCCACACCTAGATTGTCACAGGAAGTAAGAATCTGTATGGATGAGTACCTGTGACATCTATGCAACTTTGATGATTCAAGACGTAAATACATGGTTCCCCGGACAGAAGATGGTCGTCCTCGACAACAGGATTTAAACCAACCAACCTTCCAGAAAATGCTAGATACCTCACAAACATCCTTGAAACGTTATGAGCGAAAAGTTATTACCAGGCATTTTCATATCTTCGGCCTTTGAAAGCCAATCGGATAGAATAAATAAATGACCCAATAAAGATCAATAAGAAGAAAACAGAAAATTTGACATAGTACTGTACTTTTGGAACCCGGTACAGTATGGGAATAGTGGCAAATAAAATAAACGCGTAATCTAACATACTCAACAGGTCAATCTGCGCACGCTAAACAGCCAAACCCTAAAGTTGAGACTTTAGAACAAAAAACAACCAGTTGTTCAATTTCATATATCCAAAGCTACTCGTGCAAGCAAGGCACCCTTTCACTACAGAGCTTATTTCTCATGGTTTGACTTGATACATATAATTCATTTAGAACAAATATTTTACTTTATTTGAGAAAGTTCAAGTATTGCCTTGGAGATATTTACAAATAAGTTAGTTTGTTAACAGTTCGTGTGATCATTGTAATTTTACATCATTCCGCTCATTTAGTAAAAATCCGGTGCTAACCAGAGGCCTTTATTTAGGTTGACTTTCTCTAATCCAGTTCATTATCCTGATGTCTTAATGATTATCGTTCGCTAAATACGTGTGTTCGCATATACAACTCGTCCTGACTTTGTTGGATGTCATTTTCTAACTATGTATTGACACTGGCACTGTACACATTTTGTTTCATTTTGTAAAGCATATTGACTGTCAGTTACACGTTAACACTTTGGATCTATGTCCGGCGTACGCTGCAAAGAACTCTAAGATTCGGTTTATATAAGTCGAAAGTCCAGTTTTAGTTCCTGAATTACACTTACAGGTAACCAAATATACACGCATAGTGAGCGCAATCCACATGGAATTTTTATCTGAATTTGATGGCCTCGTTGACCAAAATCAGAGGATGCAACGTGTGACAAACTAAAGGCTGCAGTCATACGACGTACTTCAGCCTCAACGAGAGACTCCTACCTCTATTGGAGACTTGTGACGTTGGTGACAGAAAGCAATCTTATTTTTCACGGTACTTGAAACGGTTGGTCGTAATCTAAAAACTAGGCTGCCTAGCTTTTTAGACAGATGTGTTTAACCAGGCTACCGTACAATGTAAAAGTATTTTGCGATTCCCATAGAGTAGGTGAAGTACAAGTAGCAGTTGTAACGATCGGTGGAGATATGGCAAAAGATCCTAGATCCAACTCGTCAATTTACACATCTAAAAGCGACTATATTTGCTATGTCTGTACGAACAACAAATAAATGGTAATTTCTAGGGTTTAGTTATAGACAATTATCACATATGTTCTTATTAGATAATTATTAGGTAGCTTTATTACATATATATCCATATTCCTTTTGTCGTAAGCTTTGCTTTGACCTATTGACTACTATTAAACGATTTAGTATTCTTACGTTATTCTAAATTTATCAGTTACAGCCCCAGTGACTTGATCTTGTACAATTATTACTTTTCGTTTTATGGTGGCAGTCTGGTCTGCCTATATTTAAACTGAGTATATCCGAAATATACGATTCACACAGCAGAAGCTGATGTTTATGTTCCTGACTGAAAAGGCTAGGCTAAGCTATAAGGTACTATGTCAGAAGACGAATAAGAGCTCAGAGATAACGCGAGGCTGCTAGTGCTGGTTGGCGTACCATTAATTTAGCACAGGGAATAGGTCATATAAAAAGATCTTCTGACTAGCTATTTTATCATGTAATAAGTGACAGGCGCAAGGGTCATAACAATATTTAGCATTTATTCATTAAAACAGTCACTGGTACACTTGGTTATAATAATAAGCGTTTTTATTAAACCAGTCGTGTTCTCGTGATAAATGTGAGTCACTACAGGAGCCCCCCGCTAGAAAGGGTTTACACTTTCGATAAATAGCGGTTTAAGTCGTGGGACTGATCGGCTGACGAGCGATTGTAGGACGGAAGAATTGGCGAACAGGAAAGCGATCGTTGATCGTCGAGTTGCCAACGAAGGTCGTTTTCGGAGAACGGTACCAGGAGCGATGTGCTGTATTTGTTGCTTGAGTTGGCATGCTACACGAGAGTGGTTTGTATCCAGAATCTGAAGATGGCGTTCGTAGGGAATGCGGACCAGAAACGCTGCAGACGAAGGACGAAACCACGTTGAGCCAAAAGACCAGAAGCGACCATAACGACCAAGTTCGAGACCAAGCGTATGCCAAGCATTCGAAACCCTATATCGACTGAGTGCGTTGACAAGAGCATGGGTGGCCAATCCAGCTTTCGCCAAAGTTGACTGAAGTCGACGGAACCAAACGGAGATGGTCGAAGGCGTGGGCTCAGGAAACAAAAAGAAAATCAAAAAAGAGAAGAGTGTAGCATGCGTGTAGTATAGGAATAATCCTACACCGTATCGGTTGTTAACTGTGCGGCTAGTCGCGGAAGCGTACGGGCAACCGTACTCGGCGACCGGAACGTGAGACGGTAGTCTCGTTCGCGTCGCGTGAGCCTGCAATCTCATCCGAAGTCAAGGGCGGCGTGGTCTGCTGATCTGGACGTGAGACTGTCGTCTCGTCCGTAGACGGTGCAGATGACGCGTGCTGTTGACTGGGACGTGAGAATGAGGTCTCAGATGTATCTAGCGTGGGACCTGAAGAAGATTTAAGGATCCCGCTAGCAGGTTTGATAGGTCTAGCATTGAATCTCAGGTTACAGATAGGGCACTGTCATCGACGTGTGCTGGTTTGAGACGATCAATGCTGACGATCTCGACGCGGCCATGTCGATCAACCTTGAAGGTCTTTTCGTGACGAGCGATCACGTGAAAAGGGCCTTCGTAAGGTTGTTGCAAAGGTTTGCGTACCGAATCTACTCGTACAAAAACATGTGAACAGGTAGATAACTCTCGAGGGAGAGCGACCTGTCGATGTTGTATTCGAGTTGACACCGGAGACAGCGTTCGCATAAATGCAGACAGTCGATGGACGTAGTCTGATTTACCGAAATTAGGTCTGCTCCGTGGTGTGAAGAATTCTCCGGGCAGACGCAATGTCGTGCCGTATACCAGTTCAGCGGCGGAACATTGGATATCTGCCTTCAAGCTCGTTCGAATACCTAAGAGGACGAGCGATAAGGTTTCGTACCAGTTGTCGTTTTCGTGTGCTCGTAGAGCACTTTTAAGTTGGCAGTGAAACCGTTCAACTTAACCATTTGATGCTGGGAGGTAGACGTTAATGCGTATGCGAATGCATTCCGTACCAAGCAGCCGGGTCAGCGAGGAGAATAGTTAATAGGGGAAAATTTCTCGAATAAAGCGTGGAATTCATCGTCACGCGAATAAAAAGTAACAAGGATTCGGTACACATAAATGGGAGTCTATTATATTAATACTATTCTTATCGTTATCCGTCATGTCGAGTATATTATATATTAAAAAATATGAAAATATACGACAGACGTGGATAGATAAATCATAGACTCACCGAATTGGCTTCTTTGGAAGATTTGACCAGAAGTTGAGGCGTGTTCCAAACTTTGGGATCACCAATTGTAGCGTGGTGTCGAGTCGAGATTGACTATGAACACCGCTACCAAAAACACGTGCCAAGTTAATCAGAAGGCGAAGGTTGGACGTAACCAAATAAATCCATAAAATCTCCGAGAAGCCAAATATCAGAAGGCAATTAATGGACCAAATCGAGAGATATATTTGCTGGCGATCTCGTGGCATCGAAAGGATACCGAGATCGTGCCAAGATACAAGCTTGGTTACAGAACGTAACCGAATTCGCGCTAAGTCACAATCAAAGTGCAAGTATAAGAATGGAAGCACAAAATAGCTGTCATTAGCACAGTCAAACAAAAGCACATTAAAACAGTCACTGGTACACTTGGTTATAATAATAAGCGTTTTTATTAAACCAGTCGTGTTCTTGTGATAAATATGAGTCACTACAGGGTCAAGACCGATAAAACTAACAGTAGATATCAATTGGTAAAAATGCACGGAAACCCACAAGATCGTATGGCTTTCCACTAACGGTCCGACACATCTCCGGAAACAGCCCAGTCAGATACCTACGGTGACAACTATCTCTGGCCACATAAATAGTCGTCTTCACGTCTGAGATACAACACCTGACATGAAATTTCTCGTTGATACTGTTATGGAGTTTAACATAACCCCACCAATACCGTCCAGACCAAAACGTCCTACATGAAGCAACACCTTTCTAGAAACGTAAATAGGGCTCACATTCCTGATAGTGGAGAGCGACCACTCGGACTAGACTGCAGTTCAGGTAAAACATAATAGTTTGGGAGCAGATTTCCAAAATTTTCACAAATTACTTATTAACATGAATGAAAAGAAACTTATCAATGCGAACTAACTACTTCCAATTATTGGCCTAATTGTTAGCAGTAAAATTTGTGCCATCCACATAATAAAGCGGAAAAAAGTACATTCATTGATAATTTGTATGAGTATTACTAAATCAGAAGACCTGGATACCATGTTGACAATGCATATCACTATATAAAACACAACATCTTTACTAAAATCCAACCAGTCAATGTAAAGCCACATAGACTGACCCTGAAAAAGTAAAAATCGTCAAGATGTAGTTCGAAAACATGACGAAGTTGGGCATCATTTGACAATCAATAGCTCATGGGCTTCCCCATTAAACACGGTAGCACAGAACGATAGTGATTGATATTCATGCGGGATTATCATTGTTTGAATGTTCAGACCACAATATACAAATACCCTATTTAGTATCTCATTGCAAGGAAGGTGACTGACAATAATGACCCATCATAAACGGTTGCGTAAATCAGTCAGCATGTCCTATTATCAACCTTCCCCATGTGAAGTACGTGTGGTGTTTGTATTGTAGCGGTAAATAAAACCCCAAAATCAACAGCTCTCTAAGTCTTCGACATTTGATGCTGACCACATTAGTTTCAATAGATCCACCTATCTGAAGGCGTTCGGTCACATATTCGCACCACTTCATGAGTGGGAACGCTATGTTTAACTTCTCCTACAACCGCTAGCCAGTTACTTCTCGATATATATAACAGCAAATATTTCGTTGAACCTCTTTGCTTCTGATTTCACTGGGTGGGCACGTTTCAGTTAAAGAAGGTGTTACTGGTTAAGGTGTTATCGAACTCCAAATACCTGTGGTATATTCAGTATGAACCTACGATTCGTTACGCGCCTGATTTTGAATTCCAAATACAATAGTTCTGTCTACTAAGATTGCGCTGTTTTGGAGATTTCTAGTTCGTGGCTGATGCATTATCCTAAACAGAAATCAGTTCTTTAACCCAGAGGTCAAATATTGATACAGGTACAGGCAGGTTATACTGATTTAAAAGTCTGCGAAGTAAGATCTACATTATTGCTTAAACAGGTCCCAACTACTATTACCATTTAGGATGCTGTCAAAGATACTAGCCGTTTTTTAATATCCCACGCATAAATCAAGCATTTCAACACCCTAATTTGCTGTCAAACCCTGGAATTACAGTATAGCGTGGTGTCGAGTCGAGGTTGATTGTGAGCACCACCACAGGGAAACGCATACCAAATAAATCAGAAGGCGAAGATTGAAAGTAACCAGATTTATTCGTTGGCGATCTCGTGGTATCTAAAGGATACCGAGATCGTGCCAAAGGGGTACAAGTGGAATCAGCAGGCAAGAGTATGAACGTACGAGGTCACAATCCGCGGAAAAGTAATGGGGAGTAATGGAGTAGGAATATGGCTGTCTTTAGCACAGTTAAACAAGCGAGCACAGTAAAACAATCACCGTTACGATTAGTTATAATAACGATTGTTTCCATTAAATCAATCGCGTTCTCCTGACAAAAGTAGGTCACTACAACAGCAACAACCAGATATTTAGCAGAACGTTTCGTTTGGTATCACATGAGTGCAGATGTTAGAATGTGGCAGAGATGTTCATCCAGTCCCAACACATGACCCAACCACACACATTCTGCACACTAGGTAAATTCCAAACACCATATAGAAAATTTCAACACGTGCACTTGGACACTGTCACTCCTTTCCATTATCCAATTCTGTTGTTCGTAAATTTATTTCAAAGATGGATTCACTAAATGAACTGTAGCCTGTCCCATAAATGATACCTCATCAAACTTTTTAGCTTCAGTAATCCTTGATTGTTGGATTGCCTATTATGGCGTCCCACTTACCATCACTACTGATCGGGGTCCTCAGTTTCAATCAGTTTTGCTCCGAGAATTCACTAAACTGTTAGGAACATGCTACATAAAAACAACAGCCTACCACCTAGCAGCTAAAGGCCTCGTAGAATGATTTCACTGATAATTAAGAAGCTCACGTATGTCTCTGGACAATACAACCAAGTAGAGCAATGCCCCACCCTTTATTCTCCTGGGAATACTTCCAAAGTTGAGAGAAGACATAGGATGCACATTAGCCAATTTAGTATGTGTAACGAATTTAGAGCTTCTTGGCTAACTAATTAATAACAATGAAAAAATACAAGGAAATGCAATAACTTTTTCAAGCACATTACTACGAACCACGTAGCAACTAAAGCTAATACCAACACGTGTGAACGTACAACACAAACAAGCAAATAGCTATCTAAAAAAAACACAAACTCGACTTTGTTCAAGTTGGCGCTGTCGGTATACCACCAACCCCGCTATCCGAAGGGCCACTTGAAGTCACAAAATAAACAGAAAAATATTTCATCGCTGAGAAAAATAGTAAGAAAAACAATTTCTTTATAGACGGACTAAAACCTACTTTCCTAGATAGTCAATGAAAACAGCAAATCCTAAAACTAAGTGAAGAACCTGACCTCACGGAACCACCAAAACCAAAAAACAACGTCAAATGAGTAAACACGGACTTATCTACAACTCGCTACAGCGGAATCATCAATAGACCTAAACGTTATGCACACACTACTGTCTAAATTTTATACAAATTCTCTAACCAAACCTATTTACGTCTAGTTAGTTTGTTTTTTGTTTATTCATAATAAATCGATGTTTATTCCCGTTGTCGTTACTAAACATCACATACTCGCTTAAATAAATAAATTTTAATTCTCGGATAAATTTGATTTTTTCCGGTGTGTCTGTAATTAAACAGTTTATTATCATTTTTATTATTGTTATTTAATTATGTTGTTTAGTTGTGCTGTTCCTCTTCTAATTGCTGGATATCAACTGTTTTGTAATAATAAACCGTACACACATTATAATACCGTATATGAACATACCACGCACTCATGCCTTATATACATAATTTTTCATCATATATTTGAGTTTATGTATTTATCTTTGTGTTTATTCTTTTTATAAGTTTTGGAGTATTAATTGACAGAAGAAAGTTTTACAGTTCTATAGGTCCGCTACGCAACTGCTTTTGGAATTATAAAATAATACTTTCATGTGTATTCGTCGTATTCTGTCTGACTTGAATGCTGAATCATCCGTGACCACTACAGTAAGTATTGAATAGTTGAGGGAGATACTCGTTTAGATATTTCATCTAATTCTACTATTTCCGTTCATCATACCATGTAAATAATTCTTAACACTAGTGATCACGTTCACATTGAGTAAACATTTAAATATTTATGGAAAAGAAGTTGTTATTACTTTTTTGATTCGTTAAGTAATATGAATATAGTGCAAACAATGTACACATTGTGTAAATACTTTTTCAAGTTCTTTAAAACTCATTTTATCAATTGAACTAACACTCACGGTTCTGGATCCATCTAATGGTCTGTTATAGTGATTGACCAACGAAGTATGCAGAGTATTTCCAAGTTGGCTTTCTGATAAACCCCGGAAGACAGGAGACTAATATTCCTATGAATCAGCTATCATATAATAATTTTGCTTTAAAAGATTACATTCTCGCCTTGAAGAAGTAATGAAAAATTAGATGTATTAAAATTCGCTCAATATTTAGTTAAGCCATCACCTACCCAATAATAAAGAACTAAATATGAAGCAAAATGAATATATTTCTGAATAAATCTGTGTTTAGGCAATATAAATAATACAAAAAATATACATTAAAAATAGTGAAAATTTACTTTTACATCATTCGATATCTAATAAAAACTAGAAATATTCTTACATAGTTGAATATGCATCCAAGTTATGAGTTACAGGTATGATGAAATAATTATTATCATGATTATTATCGTTACTATTATTGTTACGTTGCATGGCTTTATTAGCAGTTATGTTAGGCATGCCAGTTAATAGTTCATCTTGTTTATCTATATTCACCAAATCATTCTTGATTGATACTGGGATTAATAACTCGTTATTGGTCTGATTTAATGGCTGTTTAACATTCGGAATAAAATTGAAGTCCGATTTTTGTAAGTTTGAATGGAATGCAGTAAATGGTAAAGATGATATACAGGAATTTGAAAGTGAATTATTGTGTTTATATTGATAATCAATTTGGTTATCAATTGCTATGGAACTTAAATTATAACTGTTTTGTATTATATACTCATCATGTTCATGATAAGATTGTGTAAGATAATCATCATCTGTTTTTAAAGATTTTATAGCATTGTTTGAATTAAATTCAATAGAATCACGACGTTCTCTGGCTCGACGATTTTGAAACCATATTTTAACCTTTACAAAAGAAACAACAACAACGGACAACAAATTAGCTTAGCAAATTATGACAAAACAATATTACACCAATATTTTTATTTAATTAAATCATAAACGATGACATATTTAACGTAGAGGTGATTTAATTTTGGCTAGTAGTTGAAACCAGTACCCGCGTTTTGTCCTAGCTAGGACTCGTCAGCTAAATGTACCTGGAACTCAGAGTTGATGTCCACTCCAAGACTTCAATCCCAGTATTGTTTGCTTCAAATGCCATTGCGTTATCGACTTAGCTACTGAGTCCAAACAGCCACTCATGAAATATGTATGACTATTAATTCGGTTTAAAATAGTTTGAATTATCCTGTTGTTTATACTTTGACTGAAATTCGATCAGTCTTGACTGACATATTTCCAAATTTTCCTACCTTATGCCGACTACAATAATAAGAACCAGCCAAAAAACTAGTAAACCCTAGAAAATCTCCTTAATGTGAAAAATTCACCGACATATAGGTAATATGAAGGGATTTCAATGGAAATCTTTCCTCAAGGAAATTATAGAAATCAGTGAATTCGAAAGCCTGTGTTAATTAGACATCATTCAGTAGGCATGACGTTTGAAATCAAATGATTATTTATGCTAATTAGGTAAAGCGTTTGTGATCATTTGGGTTCAGTCAGATTATGGATGATACAGATAACCCCAACAACACTACGTTATCATTGTCCAACGTCAAAGATTGACTCAAACCATAATTATGAACCATGAAATTTTGAATCATGTATCATGTAATCACAAGATAAGAAAATTATATGTTACTTTGTGATTTCATACGAGTTCAGCATTCCTCTTTTTCCCTGTTTTTCTTACCTTTGAAAGAATTTCGTCGTTAAAACTACCATTAAATTTTCTCGTGGTATTTTGTTTCTAAACGTTATGTTTTACTGGTTCGAAAGTTTAGTAATAACTTTGGTTATTAACATATAGTTTATTTCACAAATTAATTAAAGTTATCTTACATTATTTAAACTGTGTACAGAATATTCTGAAGATAAAATAAATCAATTACCATTTAGGTAAATTACGAGTTGCTATTTGTTTTATTGAAGAGTAATTGCAAAAAATTACTTGATTAACATGTGTAAAATTCACTTACAAGTATACACAAATGTATTTTAATGAATCTTACTTTAATATACTGGCTATAATCAGTTTTAAGTTTTAATTAGATCAGCAAACTGTGTACTGAATACAGAATGGAAAAATAAATTAAGATATTTCATTCCTCATGGGTTAACATTTCTCATAGAATCTCCCCATTAACAAACTGAACAATTCTGAATCTCAATAAACTTTAACTAAAGTAAATAACTGGGCGAAATTTTATTTTCAGAAGGGGTTTTGTGGAGATTTTGGAAATTTCAGTAGTTGAAATCATGAGTCAATTGAAGTTAGACCACCATGGAGAACCTGGAAGGACTGGACGGCCGTTTCGTTCTAGTATCGGACTCCTCAGCGTTGGATACGGCTCATTGGTCTAATGATCAGGCGCTCGAGCGCAAGACTGATAGGTCCTGGGTTCGGATCCCGCGGGGGGGGGCGGGATCGTGGATGCTCATTGCTGAGGAGTCCCATATTAGAACGAAACGGCCGTCAAGTGCTTCCAGGTTTTCCATGGTGGCCTAGCTTCAATTGATTCGTGATTTCAACTATTGAAAATTTTATTTGCAATAAACCATTTTAGAAATGTGTGATTGGTCAACATTTAACGTAATAAATATGAAAGAAGAATGTATTTGTAAAATCACAGCGAAAGAATTTGAAGTAAATCCAAAGTTTCGCCTGGCAATCTGGTCCAAACTTTTTCAAGGAAATAACATTTAAATAGCAAGAACAACAAGGTTTGTCGTATAAAATGAATTAATTCTATTTCACCGTTTCTCATCAGCTGAATACAACTTAAAATGACAATCACTAATATAATTATTAACAGATGATTTTGGCTATGTTCTGAACAACTATTATGCTAAACATTTGTTAATAATTACATTTATATCAGAAGAGGTTTCGTGAATATTATAGTAATTTTAATAGTTGAGATCATGAGTCATTTGAAGCTAGACCACCATGGAAAACCTGGAAGCACCAGACGGCCCTTTCGTCCTATTAAGGGACTCCCCATGCTGAAACGGCTGTCCAGCATTTCCAGGCTTTCCATAGTGGTCTAGCTTCAATTGATTCATTATGTCAATTAATAATATTACATTTATATCAATAATTGTAATTTTAGGTTATATGCAATTGATAAAAAGCCGTAAAATAGAACGAATCCATTTTATCTGGCAAACCTTGCTGTTCTTGTTCTGTTTGAGTTTGGCAAGGAATCTGGTTGCATGAAGTAACATTATTAGGTTATATAATGCCACACGTTTTAGATAATGTAGTTTACAAATAATGATGAAGATTCCAATCTCAACTACAAGGAAACAGTAGTAGTGGTAGTAGTAGTAGTAGTAGTAGTAGTAGTAGTAGTAGTAGTAGTAGTAATAGCAGCAATAGTAGTATAACAATGACCAAGTTCTTTTATCCAGTCACATTATATCATAATCTACCATAGTCTCTACATGAAAATGAACGATATAACTTTTTGTTTGTTTCATTACATTTTATAAGGGAATAAGATTTTTACTGAGTGCATTATTTAATTGTTTTGAAATAGATGAAGTATAGATGATGTTGTTTCTCTATGAAACTGTTTATAGACTATGTTTTCCTAAATTATAATATTTAGTAAACTGTCAAATAAGTCATCTTACATACCATGTCGGTCGTTGATGTAATTTATCCAATCCCTTAAAAAATTTTATATTTTCATTGGAATACTTTTTCTTTATTTTCAAATTTATATTATTTGTATTCGAATATGGAAATAATACATACTGATTAACATCTAGAGAACTATATTTTTAAAAAAATATTTCCAACATGAAAATAGTGACTAATTAGATTTCTTTAAAGTTGTGAATAAATTGAAAAGATCAGGCATTTACCAACCACTTAATTGAACATGACCTAGTTTTATCAATAAATAATTGATGAGTTTATGGAGATTCTCATAGGAAGTTTTGACCTGTGGAGTCATATAGGCTATTAGGAAGATATAATATGTGCATAGTGAATAACCATGATAGATTAGTCAGTAGCTGAAATCAGGAAAAATAGTTAGTTAAATTGTCATTCAACTCTGCCTGGAGCACCTCTGCGGCTACTGCCGGCCCCAAGTTCGAATAAAAGAGGAGGGTTGGGTATGGGGTTAACGACCCCATCCCGTAGAAATCTAACTCACAAAAAAACGCTAACGAGAAAAAATTATTCAAACTACCTAAACTCTTCCCTGGGAGTCAGAAGGTCTTCATTTAGAAGAGTTATGATGCCTCGTGGTGAAAGCCGAGTTTCTTCGGAAACCACGAGGCTGATGCCCCTTCTGACAACCACAGCAACCATTTATTTTGGTACATGGAATGTAACGGGCGTAAGTAAAGTAAGTAAATTCTCATTCTAACGTAATAATTTAATATATACTGATTACATTTTTGAATTATTTATTCGTTTTCATTGAAATCGACCAATAAAAATATTGTCAACATGACAAGCTCCAACTTAACATACTAAAATATATCTTTATTACATTCATCTGTACACAGTTTGAAGTTGATATTGTTACTATTAATAAGGTTATTTAGTTTCATGTGTGTACATTTCGAATGTATTAGATTTAATTTATCAAGTCACCTATTTTACCGAAAAATTACACTCATTAGGATCATTTTCAACATTCAACATGTTTATTATTGTATTAGTGTACTAGAAACCGCTTTCAAATGTGATTAGATAACTTAATTGACCAATGTATAATACAACCTAGTTATTCAATCAATTACTAATATAAGTTCATAATTTTTTTTCCTTGAAATTTAATATCTAGTTTGAAACGTGAATAATTACGTAACAACAAAATGTCATTATTTTTATTATCCTTTGTAATGATAATAAGAATAAGAGTAATATTATTGTATTAGTAGTTGTCAAGTTCAAATCTAAAGTGCATCAAGAACATATTCGACTCCTATCATTTCTTGAAATTGTTATGTGCATTAACACTCATACACACAAATAAGCATTAACAAATAGATTTGATAAGATAAATAGAAAAAATCGAAGAAATCCTTAATCCTATTTCTATCCATCTCCATATCTTTCAATTATAATTATGTTGATAGAAATAGTAATGAGTAAATAAAAGTCATTTGGTTATCATTTCATCTTAATACATCATTCCATAATTTTATATTTATCTAAACAGATGGTTAATCTAACTAACTTGCTCACTAGCTAACTGACTAGCCAACTTGATATGTATTCATACGTTTAACATTATAGACTAATGTCATTTAAATAGAACTGTAGAATTGGATTAAATTAATTAGAAATATGTATGAATAACACTATTGCTTATTTATTTACTTAACGATGCAATTATCTTGGCTTCATTATATCATTTACGATTAAATTAAATTATTTTAAAGAATAACAACCACCAAGAAGAAACAGACTAAGTTCAGTTTGATTTAAACTTGTGCTTAATTGATTATCAGTAACGATCTTATGTATATTCTTTTTATTTCACACACAGACAACTTTAATGCATATATTTGTCCGCTGACAAATATATTGAGACTGTTACTCAACCAGAGTAAATTTGTACTAGATTGAAAGGATGCTATAGCCTCCGATAAATAAATAAAAAGTTTCTAGGAGGCACCTACCATACTAAAAACCTGTTATATCTGTGGAATCACTTGACCAGCTAGTATATGAAACCTCAAATCTGACGATATGTAATGAAACCAAAGACTGGTGATAAAGATTTATTTGACCATCAAAATAAATCAAAATGATATATGAATACACTATTTTCTATATGACTTTATATAGTCACATCAACAGACAGATTTGTATAATCTGAATGAGGAGTATTTGGTATGAATTAATCAATAATTTACTAGGTGAATGCATATTTCCAATATTAGACTAATCGGTCTACATATTGACTTGGTTGTAAATATTACGGAAAGAACTTGTAAAATAATCATCACGTCATCCCTAGAAATCCATTACATTTGAAGCTGTATATGATGATGTTTTCATGGTGAGTTTTTGTACATAACAGACCATCTATTTGCTTAAGCGACCAATGGACATTTCTAAGTTTATGAGAAAATATTGAATTCTACAAGCTTTCCTAACAATATTACACTCATTAGGCTACTAAGGAAACTGAGAAGCTTCATAAACCTGCTTAACCGGATCTATAAACTCCATTTCCTTTAAGCATATTAATCTTTCAAATATATGTACATTTGAATTTTAATCATATCATCAAATAAATTAATAAAGTTACTTACGCGCGTTTCTGTAAGACTTAAATTTTTCGCCAATTGTTTCACTTCCCATCCACTTAAATATTTTGAATTCTGGAACTTTCGTTCTAATCCAAATATTTGATCACGTGAAAATGGTATACGTGGACTACGATTTTTATAAATTTTTGAACTGTATACAATATTATCATCATTTTGTATAATAGAATTATTACAATTATTGTTTTTATCTTGTTCTGATAATTCACTATAATTTAAACGTTCATTGAATGTATATTCAGGTAAAATTGTTTGAATTGATTCAAATGTTGTTATTCTGTTACCTAAAATTGTAAAAGATTTAAATTATTAATACAAAATTGGCACATTTTCTTCATTTTACTAAAATTTTCTTACAATTATGTAGTATTTATAAGTATTTGAATTATAGTATTAACTAAGAATCGCAGAAATAACGTAATCGAATCAAGAGCTACGAACGAATTTACTGTATTTAGAATTAGAAATCAAGCATTCAACAACTACAATCGAATCATTAGTTCATTCAAACACCACAAAATATCAAACAAATCTCTATTCCAAACCACTAGATGGTCTGTGTAATAATTATTCAGTGGTTTATACTGTTTAATTTATTTCTATTAAATATATAACAAGAAACTCCAACCAGTTAACTAATCTTGTGAAATACTACAATTATTTAGTTTGACCTATGATGACTTGATGATGAAAAGAGAATTTAAGTTTTATTAACAACAAATAGTAGTATGTTTGGTGGTAACATTTCGAATTTATATTTCATATCTTAATCTAAAGTTAATTTTTACAGAAAAAAAATCATTATTTCTGCGTATTTGTCAATGTCGAAACTGTCCTCAAACAATAGAGTTGTACAGAACATGATAGAAAACGGTAATTCAGTTTAAATTAAATAATGCAACATTAGTAAGTCAATGTATCAAGATTTATTCAGAGTAAAACGTAAATAAATACACTTTGATATAATAGAATAATAGTTTATATACACTTGTTAAATTACTATTATTTGTATAAATTAGTAATGAGTAATGACATGGAATTAAATAGTTTATTAGGTTAAAAACAGATTCAGTAGTTATTTACTGTTAAGTTCAAATATTTTCATTTCTTCTTATCAGTTAAACCGTCTATATCATTTATCACTAAATTATGTATTTGTTCATACAGATCAAAAAATGAAACGAAGGAGGAAATGTGCTAGAACATTCAAGGATAACGACTAAGTATAATAATCAATAATTTAAGAGGTCAGTGTTTTTAGTTCACTGAGAATTTGGGATGAAAAAGCACTTCTCTGACCGACAACAAGAGGTTACCAACCTAGAAATAGCAAAAAAAAATAGAACATACTGATTGATAATTAAGCAGTAACTAGGTCGCTATTTGTTTGATCTTTAATGTCGATCCAATTATATCAGTCAAAATAACTCAGTGATAATGCTTCTGACTGTGACAATGAGTGATTCAAGTTCGAATCCCCATATGAAACACGAATTTCATCAATATTAAAGATATATCTTGTAAACAAGTGTCAACTGGTATGAAATCTAGATCTGTGGCTTCCTGATGATTATTTCCAACCACTTAACATCAAGAAATGAATGTTAAAATATGATTCTAATCAAAAGATCACCTGTTTTCTAAAAAGGTTTTCACATTTTTAGTTAATATACCATTAAGACAGTAGAACATTAGTTATTACTTCAATCCAAATCCTCAGTTACAGTTGATTTCGACATAAGCAATAATCATATCATAAATAAACCGACAATTAATCAATATCAAATGGGATTTTGTGGATATTATAGTAGTTGAGTTTATGAGTCAATCCATGGATTGGTTGAACTTTAACATTAACACTGCTAGATGCTGGCTTGGTGTTGTAGAGGTTAAGCGCTCACACACGAGATCAATAGGTCCTGGGTTCGAATCCGGATCGTGGATGCGCACTGCTGAGGAATCCCATAACAGGACGAAACGGCCATCCAGTGTTTCCAGGTTTTCCATAATGGTCTAGATCTAATTGAATCATGAACTCAACTATTAAATTAATCATTATTTATTTTTTTACAAACCTATAAGAATATTGAAAGTGATAATAATAATAATATGTAAAACAATGCAAAACAAATGTTAATTTACTTGATTTATTATTAACATTGATATTAGTATTCATTGTTGAATTTTGATACAAAGTGTTAATTTGTTCAGTGTGATTATCATTAATCATTTGTGTATTGTTTAAAGTTAAATTATTGTGTTGTACAATCTGATTGCCTAAAATAGCATCAATAGTAAATCCGTTCATTTGTGTTTTATATCCGGTAACAATTATGAATTATATAGTGAATGATTTGCATTTATCAAGTGTACAGACGTTTTTTTTTGTGGTATTAACTAAAAGATTTCACTCATTGTCATATTTGACGCCAATGATAAATTTTTTTTTGTTTTTAATGAAATATATTTTTATATACCGTAGAAATTTAATTGGTTAATTTTTTCCGTAAAATTAATGATACACGGATTAATTGGTTAAATAAAAAAATTTTTTTCTTATTGGTTAATATGTGACCATTTAATATAAATTTCTTTTTCTTCCCTAATCAACAATGGATATTCTATTTATAATCTCATTTGATGATAAAATGAATCACTGATTGGGATAAGAAAATAAGATTGTCAGTATGGGGGTTGTGGAGATTGTTAAGTTTTTTTTATTAAGATCATGAATCAATTGATGTTAGACCACTGTTGGAAACCTGGAAGCACTGGACGGTCGTTTTGTCCTAGTATGGGACTCCTCAGCAGTGCGCGAGATTCGAACCCAGGACCTATCGGTTTCGCGCCAGGCGCTTAACCAACTAGACCACTGAGCCGGCATCGAATGGTGTTAGTGTCTAACATCAACCAATCCACGAAATTGCGCGACCAACTTCCATTGTACTGAGGTAGATACCTGTCTCTACCCAACACGGATTAGCTCCACTGGTCACGGCTTCTCACTAGAACTCCGAGAATTCCCTCACGAAGCTAGTCACTAGTGAGCACATGTTAATTATCAGTATGGGGGTTGTGGAGATTGTTAAGTTTTTTGATTAAGATCATGAATCAATTGATGTTAGACCAGCCTTGGAAACCTGGAATATCTGGAACTCAAAACAACTGTCAACCAACACCAAAGTCAGAAATTTCAATAAAAATGTTAAGATAGTTCTAATGTATGGGGTGGAAACTTGGAGAACTACCAAGCTTATCTTCCAGAGGATACAAGTGTTTATTAACAGTTGTTTACGCAAAATACTTAGGATCCGTTGGCCAGACACTATCAGCAGCAACCTAATGTGGAAGAGAACAAACCAGATTCCATTGGAGGAAGAAATCAGCAAGAAGCGCTGGAAGTGGATAGGACACATATTGAAGAAAGCACCCAATTGTATCACAAGGCAAGCCCTCACATGGAATCCTCAAGGCCAAAGAAGAAGAGGTAGACCAAAGAACACATTACGTCGAGAAATGGAGACATACATGAGAAAAATTAACAAAATTGGACAGAAATGGAAAGGAAGGCCCAGGACAGAGTAGGTTGGAGGATGCTGGTCGATAGCCTATGCTCCATTGGGAGTAACAGACGTAAGTAAGTATATAAATACGCAGAAATGATTAGTGGTTAGCAGTAAAATCCAGGACGCGAATTTCGCCCTATTTAGAAGTAGTCAGCTGGATGTACCTGTATCCCAGAGTTAATGTTCACTCTGGGACTCGAACTCAATACCGTTCGCTTCAAGCGTATCGCGTTATCTATTTAGCTACTGAGACATGGTAGTCACTTGCTTGTGAAATGAGATGAAGTTTAAATTCACTTCATATTGTTTAGTTTTTTGAATCTTCCCATTGTCTTTGCTTAGAATGCTTGTGAATTAAGGCAATATCGAGGCGATACGCACAGTATGAACATATGTTAATAAGAGACTGATCAATTGCAATCCTAAACATTAATGGGAAGTTTCAGGTAAACAATCGTTATATAAATCATTATATAATCAGCTTGTATTCGCTAAAATATTAAGTGGATTCAGTCCTTCGTCTTCTATTATTCACATACACTAATATCTTTCATATAATAAAATAACAAACCTCATTTTTTTCCCTCATAAAATAGACCACATTTATACAACTACTTGTATTCGTGAGCAAGTGAGAATATTTAGATGGGTAGAATATTACATGATTGAAAAAATACTGTTTAGAAAACGATTGAAACAATAAAATTGTGAAAGTAACAAAAAGAATCTGAACATTTTTGAAAAAGAAAAACTATGCAAAGCAAACAAACTGTAATGAATCAAGTACAAGTTAAACTGAATAAACTTTGTTCACATTTAATGGCTAAGGTATTCTACCTTATAGTTTATTGAAGAAGAGAATTAGGGTCAAGGAAGGATTAAAGCTTGGACGTATCATCTTTGTATATAGAGTTCAGGTTTGAATTGATGGATCGCCAATGCCTCAATAGTGCATAAGTTTTTAATTCAGAATAGTGTATTAAAATGAAATGATAACCAAATGACTTTTATTTACTCATTACTATTTCTATCAACATAATTATAATTGAAAGATATGGAGATGGATAGAAATAGGATTAAGGATTTCTTCGATTTTTTCTATTTATCTTATCAAATCTATTTGTTAATGCTTATTTGTGTGTATGAGTGTTAATGCACATAACAATTTCAAGAAATGATAGGAGTCGAATATGTTCTTGATGCACTTTAGATTTGAACTTGACAACTACTAATACAATAATATTATTCTTATTCTTAATATCACTATAAAGGATAATAAAAATAATGACATTGATTGATTAATTCCAGACCTTAACGACAGTGGGAAGTTAGAAAAGACCAATAAACTTCACGACATTGCACAAACTAGTGGCAATCTGAACTCAGCTGTTTAGTCGATAACGCAATAGCGTTTAAAGCAAAGGGCACTAGGTTCGAATCCCAGAGTGAACATCAAATATGCGATACAGGTACATCGAACTGACTAGTCCTAAATAAGGCTAAATGAGTTTTTTTGGATTCAACTGCTAGACTCTATTCATCTCTGCTTAAAAACATCCTTATGATACATCTTTATGACAGTTTAATGATTTAAAAAGTATTTTTATTATGGATTGATATCGTCTGGAATAATACAGAAAATCAAGAAACATTGAACAGCTATTTGCCCTAATTCAAAACCCTTCGTGAATTAACACCGTCTATTCCAAACAAACTTA